TTTTTTTTTATATATATACAGAGACACGCAATGCCTGTTCGTGTTTTTCATTTTCTTCCTCCCCCTCCGAACAATTTCATTCTGCTCAAAGAACACGAGAATCTCTGTGTACTCGCCATTATTGGTGTACACTGGGAGACATCAATGCCCTCCCATCCTGCACAGGCGATGCCGTATCTGCAGGGGAGGCATTTATGTCCGCCATTGTACACTGGGAGACATCAATGCCCTCCCATCCTGCACAGGCGATGCCGTATCTGCAGGGGAGGCATTCATGTCCGCCATTGTACAGAATACATGTTATAAACGGGGATCATCTTTGCTTATGTATAATATATATACATGTATTATATACAGGAACATCTTATGAAACATCCAATATGGAACTTAAGGTGATATGAAAGAGTCGAGAAGAGAATGAATCGGGTGTGCCGATTAGTTTGGAATTTTACCACGTGAACATGGAGGCGCTAAAGTAGGTCCGGAAACTCGTGAAATTTCATTTTTTTTTATCAAACATTTGTTTATCTATCACGGACTAGAAGCAAAAATGGAAAATACTGTAACCAACGATTCCAAGAGCTTGTCCCGTAGCTAACGCATTTTTTTTTTCTGAGCAATTGAGACTATCGGTCATGATTTCCATGAAAATGGACGCGCCATAAACAATGGACGCGATTTCACAAGAATTAAATCCCACAAATTTTGGACATTTCATAAGACGCACCCTGTATCTACATATATATATATATACAGATAATTAGTCAAGGCGTAACCTTTTTGCTTGTTTCACTAACATTCTCTCGTTGTACAAATGTATATACATATACGTACGTATATGCACATATATGTACATATTTGTCTGCCATGTATCTTTTGATATATATACACATCCACTGATTGTATACCGTCATTCCGTATATATATATATATATATATTATATCATCCACTAAATTAGAATAGTCTTAGGAGTTTTTCATAGTCTAGTCGTGGCACGGACTACACCGCAAACGCAGGACGCTCTTCGGCGCGGTTTCCGGCCGCGGGATTATTTTGTCATATGTTGCTACTAACAATAACAAATTGGCATTGCAGATCGGACCGATGTACCACTAAACGTTTCTCGGCTTTCGACTGACTCGGTGTGTCGGGGTTTCGCGGTGACTGCCTATCTGGGACGGCTTTTTTATTCCCTCCTTTCGGACGCTTCGCCGCCATCTTGTCTTCTTCGGTTGGGAATTTTCTAAAAGTATATTCGCAGGCTTGTGAGCGACGAAAAGGGGGGAGAAATTTCACGACACAGACGTACTTACGACAAAGTGGACGGCGGGCTTTACAAGCACGTACTTAATGCTATATTGTGGAACAAGTGGGGAAAGTACCCACTTCCGGGTGTGATGTTCCCTGGAAGAAGTGCAGCGGAACTTCACTCCTGCTCTATGCTTTTTTTCTTTCTTCTCGCCGAAAGTCTCGCCGCTATCTTGTCAATGACTAATCCCAACGCGTTGGAAGACGGGTCTTAACCTCAAAAAAATTATCAAAAATACTTCGTTTTACTGCGAAATGGGGGAGAAAAAGAAATTATATCAAGACGACGCACTTACGGCGGATTGACGAGCACGTACTTAAAACACCATTTAACAGGACACTTTTTCTCGATACGAAAGACACTCTAGACGTGTGTGGAATGTGTGTGATGCACCCTCTGTGAATGTGTCCTGGTGGCTTGCAGACTCAGACCAGGAGGATCAGTCTCACACCTCGTTTCGCCGGAACATCAGAAAACCCATAGGTAAGTGTTCATCTCTACACCTACCGTGCACGGAGACAAGTTATCCCCCGAATCTCCTGGGGATATTTTATTTTAAATTATTATTACACATATCTTATAAAAATTATTCATTTCATGTGCCGCAGTTTGGCGTTAAGGTGAAGTGAAACCCCCTTCAGATCAGTCGATTCGAATACAACACTTTTTTTTAAGGGTATTAGGCCAAACTGTCCGAAACTTTTTTACTTCGATTTCTTTATAATTATTGTACCAAAACAACAGGTGATGTATGCCATTCAGTGCAATACCCAATATAATTTGACACAGCTGTCAATATAAAAACGAACGTCGGCAGCGTAGGTATTTAAAAAAAATCTTTATCGATGTCGATCAAGTTCCTTAACGTATTTCACTTCACCTTAAGATCTTTCATTCTCCATTATTTTGAAAACTTCTCTCCGTGCACGTTAAATTTCGTTAATGGGTTTTTCGAGCCTACCAATAGAAGCCGGAGGGGTTTTTCGTGCTCAGGGAACTCCTCGGGCATTCTTATTTTGGAATTATTGTTAAACAGAAACATCGCAGACTGACCAATAACTACAGCGATGCGAAATCATCTCATGGGAATCTACAGAGATTTGCAATCCCATGAAATTTAATTCCCAGGTAATTAAAAACATGGCACGGTATAGAAGTTTAAAAGAAAATCGATACATTGCCTCCAAGGCGTACGGGTTTAAATATTAATTTTCGCTGGACTGTAGATTGCCATGACAAGTTTCCCATCTCGTTACCGAATCCATAACATGACTAGGTGGAACGGTAGAATCCCTTTTTATTCTGATCTCCATGCATTGTGCCCGTCGAAGCGAGATTCTTCGGTATCTTGCATGTTTCGGAAAGTTGACACTTCTTTTACTGACTTGCGCATTCACCTGGAAATAACAGCACAGTTTATATACTTAAAGCATTTGCAATCCTTTTTCTTGTACGAGTTTAGAATGTTACCATTTGCCCTGGCACCATTTCGTGTCCCTAGGAAGCCATGCTCTCCGGCCCGAGCTGGACCGAACACCAAAAAGAGGCCCTAACCTCTAAAAAAGGTCTAACGCACATATTTTAATTGTTTAAACAAACACTTAAAGGGAAAGTATAGGATACATTTTCCAGGAAATTCATGCGGTTTTCGCTATTTAAGGTTTCACGTTTCGTTTACACGTGAAGTTGTTTTTCAATGGACCGAACATCAAAAAGAAGTCCTAACGTCTAAAAGAAGAAGGTCTAACGTACCATTATAATTCTTTAAATAAACATCTAAAGGGAAAGTTCCTCACGTAGACACCATCTTTATCTTGGAAGTCGACGTTACGTGGGAGTTCGCAGAGTTTTATAAGCAAATCCATAACCTGCCCTCAGACTTCGAGGCTGGCGAGGACGGTGACGATAGCAGCGGAGGAGGGAACTCGTGGCGAGAGGAACTTCACCGTCGCTACCAGCAGGAGAACGACTTCCTGGCGGAGCTCAGGGCGCGCAACATAACCTTATCCCAAACACCGTCGGCAACGCCATCTTGCGAGCAGGAACACGACCGTGGCGAACGCGAGGAGGCAGAGGGCGAGAAAGAAGACGACAACGAGGTTAACTGGGCGGAAGCCGTCAAAAGATGGGTCAACCGATAAGTTAGGTTATTAACCTAACCTCAACATAGACAACGATAGTCACAAGGCAGCGTCGTAGCTGGCAAGAGTCTTAACGAGGCGAAATCTTAGCCAGGCTGAAGCAGAAAACGCACAGGGAATATAGTGGGGAGGATGCAGGTTAGAAAAAGTACTCTTCGATCCTCATCAATGAAGAGGCATAAATTCTCTTCGATGCTCATAGAAGAAAATGCATAAATTCTCTTCGATCCTCATCGAAGGGAATGCATAAATTCTCTTCGATCCTCATCGAAGGAAATGCATAAATTCACTTCGATCCTCGTAGAAGGAAATGCATAAATTCTGTTCAATTCTCATCGATGAAAATCCATAAATGCATGGCCTTATTACCCAGTTACTTTATTTTGAATTGTATACAAGGACTTTTTGTCTTTGATTATTACTATGCATTGTTTTAAGATGTACTTTATCGACTGACTGAACCGTAGATACTTCCCGAGGCTGACTTAAAGGACAATACAGGATCGCACACAAGTTTCTCGAGAATTGGTTTCAAGAGAATTACTGTTGAGAAATAGAAATCATGAACACTCCTCCCTATATCCCTAAGTGCAGTTTAGCTTATCTGGATAGTGGAACCCTAAATGCGATCGCAGAATTAAAGCACACACCTTACCGGCAACTGTTCTATGTTTTTGTTTAACCCTCTTTTCCTTGAATCTCGAGAATGATCTGCGGATCTTCTTTTCTGCATTCTACTAGTTTCGAATAAGCTGATTAGATTCGATACTCAAGCTGCAACTATAACCAGAGAATCGATATAGTTTTTGTTCTTAATCAAAATCTTTTACACAGCTTTATACAAGTTTACAAGTTTATATTCATGTACACGCTTTCTACGGTTTTCTAACCCTAAAAAATGCAGTTTCCAATTATGTTGGTCGCTTAAAACTGTAACCGAAGCTTGCTGTCATCGCATGATCTGCTACGCTGAACATTCTAACCTTTTTACTGAATGAAAGGAGACGTAACATCGAGACTTAGAAAATCATTGAAATGATTCAGAAAGTGTACTACGTGCTAATTTATACTTCGGTTTTATAATTTTATATGTTTTGCACATTTTCTGGATCGCTTTACTTACTTCTCACGGAGAATGTTAATTTTCATCGAGGAAAGTCTTGCCAGTAAGGTGAGCTTGTCTCTGACATAAATAATGAGCACGGCTAATAACAATTTAAGGGAGAATATTACTCGACCTATTAGTCATCTAATTTTTCTCAGTGCTCAACTACGTCGAACAAAGGAGAGAAAGATGTACGAGGGAGGGAGAGAGGAGCAAGACAAAACTATTCATTTTATTAGTATATTTGCGAAAATGTATTCCATACCAAGCCATAGATGATAAGTGTTACGATCAAATGTTTAGAAAGTGAACCCAAGTGAAGAAATGATGTACAAACAATGTATACTAATGGTCTAACGAGAGACTACAAAGTCAGGCATATGGAGTCGACGCATAAATATATATCTCTGAATAATTATATACAATCGACATTCACAAGTTACTTAACGTATACATTTTGTATGCAAGATCATTTACGTATAATGCAAATATTCCATATAATTTGAATTAAAAAAAGATTACATAAATTTATGTGCCCATTTTTGTGAAGTTTTAACATCGCAAACGCTCGTTAAGGAGATTAATGAACTTTTTCCATATAAAAGAGTCGTTCGGGGAAACAAATAACTCGGCAGAGTCTCGCGCCAAATACATTACTTGTAAGTTTCTTCACTCGGGGACATCAGAGGGATTCTTGGGGTCCAAAGGACGAAGGAAGACGTAGAAATTTCTGAAAAGATATCAGGAAAACGCTCGTTCGTTAAATTTTGGGCCCTGAAATCTTTTATTTCTTCCGCCTAAGCGCGACGAGACAACCGAGAATCTTCCTCCACGTCTCGCGGGAGCTTTGACCAAACTTCATTAAAAGTCGTCTATAAGTAAGCCGCGGCTAGGGTCGTTTTTTAACTTAATAAATCATCCAACGAAAGATTATTAGTAACAGAGAGAAAAGAAGGATATAATAGCTACTTCGTATTCTTTTTCATATATTCGTACGCATTCGTATCGGGGTTTTCGAATCGTACAGGGCTCTACTTGGTAACTTAGCGATCTCCTTATTAAGGCGGTGTGAAATTGGCGCCAAAGAGGTCTCGCTTATGAAACTTTTCTCCAAACAGAGTGCACCTAATCGTTTCAAACTTTACAGTATAAATATAGAGGCTATTGCGAAGGTCCCGACACCAATAAAATTTCGATTCTTTGAAAATTTGCTCCTAGATTTTCCAAATTTTTCCTTCACTTTGGACGCCACTTGCACATCCCCTTAAGGGGATACTTTTAAATACTCCAAGTTAATAGGATTCACAATCTCGACAAGTACAACTCAGCGCAGCGTGGAACGCGATCAAATATACAAATAGTTCTCGTATTTACGAATTAATTGGTTCCTGGCGAACGTTCGTAAAGTGAGGTTAGGTTCGCAAAGGAAAATTACGGTCGCAAGAAGGGATGTATGAGATGTGCCAATTTGTAAAATGGGAACTGCCTGTAATGCGAATGTATTAAGGTGCTATTTACCGTTGAAAAACGCATGGAAAAGGAAAAAGAAAAAGGACGATATTCCATGCCCCCTGAGTTGTATTTTAACGAGGTATTTATCAAAGCGATGTAAACATGCAAAATAGGACCGGGAAAAATCCAACCGAGGGAACACCCGACTTGAAAAACCGGGAAATTATTCACAACCCAAGATGGCCGATTGCCATTGCCGAATGAATTAAAAAAAATTAAATGAATACGTGTAATTGGAAACCGGATGGCAATCGAAGGAGCTTACAAAATGTTTGTTCACCTTCTCCCCCTAACCCGTGCGACTCGCTCCTCTAATCAGTATTATACCTTTATATCTCGGGGAATAATGTAAAAATGTGGCCGATAATTTCGCATGATTTACTCGCTTATGACCTCCCTAACTATATCTAAAAAATTAACCGCATTTATTCCAACATACTTACTCCACGGTTCTCTCACACTCCACCCAGGGGCAAATAGCATAATCCTAGAGAGAGCATCCCAGGATGCCTCCGACCCCCGAGGTCAGATCTCGCATGCAAATCCATCATCGATTGCCATTGCCGAATGAATTTAAAAAAATTATCGAAAGAGCTTACAAAATGTTTGTTCACCTTCTCCCCTAACCCATTCGACTCGCTCCTCTAATCAGTATTATACCTTTATATCTCGGGGAATAATGTAAAAATGTGGCCGATAATTTCGCATGATTTACTTGCTTATGACGCCATGACCCAAGATGGCCGACCTGGTTATGCTGAGATATGTTACTGTTTCCTGTCAGGTGTTTCCTCGAGAGGAGTTTCGCTTATTAAAAGCTACTGTTGGTACTTTCCTCCTCTCCGATTACCATAACTTAACGCATCCGCAAATCTTCGAGGTAAAATAGCCAGTTTTCTAGGACTCCACTGTAAATAAGTCTGATTTTTATCGTTTCCTAAGTAGGAGGCAGTAGGCGACGCACAAGAAAACCATAAATAAATCGTGTAGTTTGGGCTTTGAATGTTGGAACTAACAGTATCGGATTTAACGGTAGCCTAATGTAATTAAGACCTGTAATCGTTTGTAGTCGTTCCTTTACTCCCTAAGGTAACCGCGCGAGATCGAATTGGCATTCGAAGTCTAAACTATGCAAAAGACTGGCCGAAGATACGAATCCAACGATTTATGTACTAACTGGATAGCTGATATCCTTCAAAATAGCCTGACCATGAACTAGATAAGAAGACATAACGCTTATGATCGGTTCCACTGAAACTGACCCCAAAATCGAGACCCATGATTTCAGACTTTCGCTGATCTAACGACACGAGCGCTCCTGACGGAAAATGAGTGAACTAAAATCGTATCCCACCAAAACAATTCCTATCGACGTAAATGACCAAAAATGCTTTTAATTTCGCAGTTAAAATTAGCAGTTATACGATAATCCAAGTATTGTATGCAGAATATGATGTCTTTAATATGATAAAGACTAGGAGACAATAATTATTAATTTCAAAATTTCATCTAGGGGGAGCTCTCGGCTCTAGATTAGAAAAAATATCTATCTTGGACCCCTAAAGTGGAGACGATTTCTCAATACTTGGTGTTGGATCTCCTTATACTACTTCGTGGATATCAGCTATCCAGTTAATATATAAATCGGTAGACGAATAGCAGGAAAAGGCGAGGCGCCTTTAGAATCCACAGAACGCGTGTGCCACAAATATGAGTTTTAGTTCCTACTATAATAATACGCATTCCACGGACGGTATTTACAAGAATGGGAAATGCCGATGCGCCAGGGTCGACGTTAAGCATTTTGTAAAATTAACAGCAATAGGGAGTCCCCCTTACATAGTTTCGGTGTACATATGATTTGGTGGTTTTACCCTTTTGTTCATACATAAATGTTAATATATGAGAAATGTGTAGTGATTCGAAAGTCGATTAGCGAGAAATAAACTACCTAGTCAACGCGTGAATGATCTCTTCGCAATGCACTCGTTTTTTATCCCCTTTTGAACGGACTCCTTGACTTCGATTCAAATCAGTATTTGTATTATACAAAAATAGTTGTTATGCATGGTTGTACAATCTCTTTTCTTTATATATATGTATAGATATAAATATGTGCGGGTAAATTGTATAATTAAAGGTACTCAAAAGGCAAATGCTTCGAAAAGGTCGTACAGAATCCTCGATATTTATCGATCATTCGTTGGTATTAACCTTTCAGGTTGTTATACATGTAATGGTATGCACTCCGTACAATAACTGGCATGAAAACAATGACGTGTAAACTACATATAAACAACTGTTGAATTAATACGTTCCGATGTCATCGTCAATTTAGGTTTTGATTCAACAACTTTTAAGGATACCTCTCTTTGGCATCGAGGTAATTATCTCTACTTTGACATGCAACTAACACTTAGTGCTTTCCAATTTTGTCTTTGTAAAAAGGATGTCCTTGTATATAATATTTAAGGGTGCACGTTTTTAGGTTAAGTTGAAGTCACGATCTGCATTCTGTTCGATGCAATGATCGTTCAGGGTTTTTTGACTGACTGGCTCTTGATCGATGTCTCCGGCATCCAACTTATTGCTGATTCCTCGATTTGCACTTTTCTCCTCGGTCTTTATACCATTTGGAAATTGGCTCTGCACACAACGCGAAAGTCTGCTCTCCAAGTCGGAGTTTTGTTGCTGCTCCTTGTCGATAGCTTCATTCAATTTTTGGAGGGTCTGATGTGCTTCCTGAAGGGAATGTTCCAATTCGCAGTCTAAAAGAAATGAAGATTAACAAACCTCTTTAACATGAAACGATAAAGTATCGAGACAAATACATTTTGAACGAGAAACGCCCTGGCAAGTATCTGTACGTCCAGGGTTGAGTAATTTCATGATCTTCGAGGTTTTTCACGTATATTACATAAATCAAGTAGTTTACCGTAGAAAATGTAGAAAACCACGTATATTACTTGACGTATTATACTTACCCAACCCTGATCTTTACGCCAAAAAGAACAATTTTCTTAAGAGGGAATGGTACGTTTCAAGAAAGCCCGAGTTGACCGTGCTGCCACATGGCGGCAAATAGTGGTAACACTTGTGACGTAGCGTCATGGCTGTCGGGGTTGTACACTGGCGCGTCATTCGAGGTTTTTTCACGTAAAATACTTATGGAAAGTATTTTAAATCTGGCTCCGCAGGGAAAGTTATATCTTCGGAAGGCTATGATTTCCACCATTCGAGTTATTCAAAGTACATCCTGTATAGACAGGCTGTTTTGGCTGCGAACTTTCCCCACTTCCAGCTCTCGTAGGTGTGAAAACACACACAGAGAAAATGATATACCATTCCCCCTTAAGTTTTCGTAGAACTATGGCCTATAATAGTAAATGTAACGAAACCTTTCTGCGAGTCCACTTCTCTTTGATTGATCTGCTCCTGGAGCATGTTGTTCGCAGTCTTCAGTCTGCGGTTCTCTTCCATAACCTTAAAATTTCATTGTCTTGTTAAGGTGATGTGAAAGTGGCATCGAAGAGGTTTTGTTTATAAAGCTTTTCTCCCACCTCGATTTACCGAATAGTTTGAAACTTTACAACGTGAATAGGGAGATTATAAGGAAGGTCCTAAGACTCATGGAATTTCAATTCTTTTTAAATTTGTTTATAGGTATTTTAACACGTTCCCGCCGGCGCCAATTTTCATTTGTTTCCCCCAACGGCGGCACACAAATCTATGTCGCGCTTCATCTGGCGGCGCGCATTTCTCGCGTGTTCAGACTTGCACGCGCTTCTTGTTTCTTCAGTATTACATTGAGCGCTTACTTTGCAAATTATGTGACTCGTGCCGTTTTTTATATCCTAACCACAGATTTCTGTTAGTAAAAATAACTAAAAGGTGGTTAGAATATTTTTTTAAATTTTGCCCTTAAAAATATTTTTTTAATTTTGCCCATAACATGGATATGGAAATAAGTGATTCGTCTCATGAATGTGTAAATAGAGGCAGGAGAAACGCATCAAGATTACGAATACTTTCTTCCTCTTCAGGCGAAGATTTTGTTAACGTAAACAGCAACGTTATGAAATGTTCCTCGGGGGAAGATTTGAGTGTTGAAGTTACATTCATAATACTGAATTTTTATGTGTGTGTTATTAAGCAAAATTTATGTTCATAATACGTTATTAATTATAATTTTTATTCAAAATACACGTTTTTATGTATGTACGTTAAATTATCAGTGTCTAATAGCACAATCGAATGCGAAACACAGGTAGTACACGCCGCCCGATGATGCGTCTAGCGCGAGCCACCGGTGGTACACGCCGCCCGATGGCACAATCAAGCGCGAGCCACCGGTGGTACGCGCCGCCCGATGGCGCAATCAAGCGCGAGCCACCGGTGGTACGCGCCGGCGTGAACGTGTTAAAAATAGTTAAAAAAAATGAAATTTCACGAGTTTCAGGATCTACCTTAGGGTCTCCATATTAACGTTTTAAAGTACGAAACGATTTGAGACACCCAGCTTGTAGAAAAGTTTTATGAACGAGAACTCTTTGACGCCACTTTGACATCGCCTTAAGGGGGTTCAAAACAGACTTCCAATAAAACTCTGGGGCATCAATTCATAAAGAATATCGTTTGGCTCACTTCTCTCAGAGAGTCTTCCCAGTATTTCTGTCCAGGATTAGTTGTGCACTCATTAAATTGCGCCTCCAACCGGCGAATGCTGCTGTTGTGCTTCTCGTGCAAGGCCTTCAAATTCTTCTCATAGGTCTGCTTCAGCTTCGCCAGCGAAGCAGTATATTGGCTCTGCATGTCCTGAAAGATGTTTCAGCTCAATTAAATTACATACCCTGTGCTAATAATGTATTTTCTAGAAGTCTAAGTAGTCACTGGAAATCCTACTTCCAACTTGGCGAGAAGCAGATCCCTTTCGCTGGTCAAAGACTTGACCTCGTCCTTAAGGGCCTCCATAGCACTGCTTTTAGCCTCGAATTCGCAGAGGATTCTCTTCACCTCGGCTCGCCTCTGCTTGCATTCATTTTCCAGCAGTCTCATTTGCCGAGATATCTCGTTAACGTCATTCCTTGATAAACTGTCGCCATCTACAGGGGAGTTAAGCTCCTCGGAGGCCGTCTTCGGGAAGTGCTTACAAAGCTCGTTGAACTTGCCGTCGAGGTTCAGCCTTTGCGCTCTTTTCAACCTTAAGGTGAAGTCAAACACGTCGAGGAACTTGAGCGACGTCGGTATAAAAGATTTTTCTAAATACCTACGTTGCCGACGTTGGTTTTTATATCGTCAGCTGTGTCGAATTATATTGAGTATTGTACCAAATGGCGTACTCCACATGTCGTTTTTGTACAATAATTATAAAGAAAATGAAGTAAAACTCCAGAAATCCTCTGGATTCGTGCTTTCTGGGGCCCTAATTGACTGCAGAGGGACCCCTGCGCCATCTGTGATTTCCGTGTCAACTAAATTTTCACTCCGAGGCATCTTATTACCATCGTTTTAGCATAGCAGTGCATAACACACTTTTTTTGCCTTTATCTCGGTCAAATGCGAGTTTATCGATTACCAGAGTGTTCTAAATTGTTTCATAAATGTCCTGACATTTTCGTTTCTCATATTAGAGCCTTCAATAATTGTATATCGATCGAAATATGAGAGCCCAACGCTATTCTGGTCCTGGTCTGGGTTGTTTAAAAATTTTCTTCAAAAATAAAAATTTGGAAAGTGTCAGGATAATTCTCAGGTACTCACTAGTCGTGTGTTAATGTTTTAGACGGTTTGATCTAACACCCTTAACAAAAAAAATGTGTCTTATTTGAGTCGACTGATTTTAGGCGGGTTTCACTTCACCTTAAAGGAAGATTCTTCAGCTCGCTCTTCACCCGGATCAGCTGCTCGTTTAAGTTGTGATTTTCCCGCTCCAAAGCTTGTACTTTCCCCCTTTGCTGAGATATCTGGAAAGGGATATTAGCTTATTAGAGTCCTTCTTAAAACGATATGAAAGGCGCTGAGAAATTTAATCCAGGTCATACAAATGTGGTAGAATTTGAAACGAATCGGTACACCCAATACTGAGGATATTTTCGCCAACGATTTATCCTCTCAGATGTATATAGGCTGACTCTGTCATATCCACTTTAAGAGGTACTTAATCGCGGATTCTAGACTCCTCACCTGCTTGTCCTGGATTTTAATCTTCCTGCTCAACTCGCCGATCAAGGCGGCATCCTTCAAGGACTTTGAATTCATCTTATGTATCCTGCCTTCAAGGGATCCAAAGTCGCCGGGCATTTCCGCGACCGACAGCTGCTTCTTCAAGGCTAAGATACTTCCCAGGACCTTGTCACACCTGATAACAGCGTCCTCCTTTTCAGAAATCTCCTGCAGGATCGTCAAGGACAGCAGCTCGTTCTGCCTCTTCAGGCTCTGCACCTGTTGCCGCAAGCAGTCGTTGTTCCTCATCAAAACGTTCAGATTATCCTCCAGCTCCTTGTTGGAAGTCTGCTCCTTGGCCAGCCTGGACTCCAAGCTGGTCACTTCTTCCTTCAGGACCTCTTTATCGTGCAACAGCCTCGATATCTCTCCGGGAAGCCTCGACAACTCGTCCAGCTTCTCTTGCTCCTTCTGCAGGACTCCCAGGGTGCCGTTCATCTCGACCAGCTTCGATTCCGAGACCCTGAGATTCTCTTTCAAAATTTCTGCCTGGGTCTTCAGTCTGGATATGCAAATGTCCTTCGAGTGAACTTCCTTTTCGAACGCCACCTCCTTCTCGTCCAACAGGGTCTTCATGGTCTCCTTGTCTCTCAGCAACCTCTCGATGTCTCTGTCGCGCTCTGCTAGAGCCTTCCTGAAGAGCAGACCCCGCTCTTGGAGCTGCTCGTTCTCTTCTTGTAATTTCTCCACGCTGGAAGAAAAGGATAAAAGGATATTAATCTTCTGGGAGAGATCTCTACGTTGGTACGGGAATTTATTGCAACTTACTGGAGCTCCATCTTCTCCGCCACGACGTTCAGCGTCGTCTTCAGGTTGTCGGACCTCTTCAGGGCCTCCTCCTTCTGCTGAAGCTCGACTCCCGCCTTCGTCAGCTTCGACGTCAGGGCTTTGTTCTCGGTAGAAAGAACAGCGAACTCCTCTTGAAGATCTTCCATCTTTTTCTGCAACTCTGTGATCTCAAGGTCGCGGGATTTGAGCTCCTCCTCCATCTGCGAAACTCTCTCGGCTTTCTTCTCAAGGTCCTCGTTAACTTTCCCCAGGTCGTTCGTAAAAGATTGCAGACGATTAAGCTCGTTAACGTGACTCGCGTTGATCTTCTTCTCCGCGGAATAGAGATCCTCTAACTCTTGCTTTTCTTTATTCGCGATTTTCGCTTCTTCTCGAACGGCTAGAATCTCTTCTTCCAGTCTTTTCACTTCCGATTGGACTTCTTCGACCATGTGTTGCCGCTCTTCTAGTTGCCGAACCATCTCCAACTGCTCTTCATGCTTTCCTGAGGAACAAGGCGTTAAGTAGTTCACCAAATCGAAAAGGAAATGCAATTATGACGTAAAGACACTATGGCAAGAAGTTTCCGATGTAATTGGCGCGGAACTCTGTCGAACCTCTTAAGATGATATGAATACTTTCTCTTAACAATAACAACTCTTATGAATGATACTTTATATAAGCTTTATTAAGTCTTATATAAGCTGACTCTTTCATATCACCTTAACAGAATGGAGAAGAAAAGACATCCAAATACCTTCTAATTTCTCGAATATCTCCTTGCATCTATCCAGCATATCGTTAATGCATTGTGCAAAGAATGTATCGACTTTATTGTCAGTGAATTTATCCTCAGATTCTTCTGAATGAACAATTCTGTTAGAGCAGTCGGAAGGTTCAAGCTCGACAAGTGGATTTGACATGTCGATTGCATCGGATGAAGACTCTTCAGGGTACCTTTGACATTGTTCTTCGCCTGTGTTTTGATCCATAATAAAATGACATCCCAATTTAACAACATAATGACCGAAGATTGAATCTTTTGGTAAATAATCAACTTTTATATGCCAATGCAGTGATTACCTAAGCGTTCGAATGCCTTTATATAGTGGCGCAATCTACAAATCAAACGAGAAGAATGCTGGATTAGGATTTCCTCAACCGAGTCGCCACCATTTTGTCGAGCTTGATTTAATAGTTCCAGTTGAGTCTTCAATACCTCCACATGGCTTTCCAGCCGTTCCTAAAATAAGAACAGTTTACCATATTAATCCTTCTTATACAGACTGCTTAATGAAATGCCATTAATCCTTGAAAATGCTTTTTAAGGTTAAGTGAAACACGTCGAGGAACTCAATCGACGTCGGTAAAAGAGATTTTTCTAAATACCTACGTTGCCAACGTTGGTTTTTATATCGACAGCTGTATCGAATTATGTTGGGTATTGTACTAAATGGTCCATCTGTCGTTTTCGTACAATAATTATAAAGAAATCAAAGCGAAACCCCAGAAATCCTCCGTACCTTCTCTCTACTCCAATTGTCTCGCTGGTCCATAATCTCCTTAAGACTATCGAACAAATCCAGGTAACTCCTAAATTCATCGTCCCCTTCGTTCTTAGAATGGCATTTAACGTTCTCCAAGTTCTTCACATCTTTGTTAGAAAACCGTCTCTTGATTTCTCCTTCCAAGACCTGCAGCTCATCCTGCAAAGCGGACCTCTGTTTTCTCAACTCCAGCAGTGTCACTCCTTCGTCATAACCTAAAACCAGCATATATGGACAGCAGTGCAGAATTATATTGAGTATTATACTAAATGTCATACTCCATATGTCGTTTTCGTACAATAATTATACAGAAATCGAAGTAAAACTCCAGAAACCTCCTCGATTCATGATTTTTTATGCCCTAATTGACTGTAGAGTGACACCCTGCGCCATCTGTGATTTCAGTGTCAATTAAATTTTCTCTTCGAGACCTCACGTTACCTTCGCTTTAGCATGACCCTTTCGCTTCACCTTAATACTGAATAATGCTTCTTCTTCGACATATCTCTGACTGAATAAAGATTTCGTGAAAGCTATTGAAAGTATCAACTAACCATGTCGACGGTGGGCTTTTGTATCTAGACTTTGACTGCATCCAAAGCCTGAGTCCGACCCAGGATTCACCGAAGACTCGATGCTGCGTAATTTGTCATGCATGTCAGGAGACTTAAGAGGATGTGAAAGTGGCATCTGAAAAGTTAATCGTTCATAAAGCTTTTCTCTGAATGTGTACTGAATCGTTTCAAATTTTACAACTTAAATGTGGAGACTATAAGAAAGGTCCTGATACCCATAACATTCCATTTCTTATATAAAATTTTAGAAATACATATAAACAGATTTAATACAAAAATCTCTGGAGTTTCAAGACCTTCCTTAAAGCCTCTATATTTACATTGCAAAGTTTGAATCGAATCGGTGCACCCAGTTTCGAGAAAAGTTTCACAAAGGAGAACTGTTTGACGTCACTGTCACATCACCTTAACCTCTTCGAGGTCTGTTCCTTCTTCATTCTTCGAATAGCGGAGGTCCTCGATGTCCCTCATGGTCTCGTAACAGTCGCGCAGTGATTTCGTTCCTTGGGATAAAGTGTCCATCCTAACTCTGCAAGCCTCCTCGTAAGCAGCGTTGAGTTCGCTCACACTGATCCAGCTTTCCTTAATGCTTAGAGCTACGTTGCCGACTTCCCGCTCCAGGGTGACAAACTGTCCCTCGTGCTGGCTGATCGTTGCATTCTTCTCCTCCAGGTCCTGACGCAGCTTGCGCAGGGTGCCCTGGTGGAAAAACCTGGGTGAAAGCTCTCCGAAGCCTCGCAGGAGGCCCTCTGGACACCTCCACGAAGGAGGTCTGACCTGGTCGTGGTAACTTTGACCGAGGGCTTCTGAAAAACATGGAATTTCAACGAACCTTCCCAGCCCGAACTGCTCCACCGGTAGTCTTCGATCAATCCAGCTGCCCACTGCCAAAGAACTCAAAAGTTCCATAGAAGCCCGCATCCTATGATGGCGCTTGATGCTCTAAAAGTTGGTTAATTAACCAGGAGTGGAGGTAAAAAAGAGATTCCATGCGTCAGCCAACGTTTTCACACATATGGGTGGAAAAGCGACGCATATAGAAAGGCAAATTTACATGGTGCCAGTAACTCGTACAACTTACCAAAACTGAGTGCTTTACAAAATAGTAGCGTTTACTCAGCCTTCTAATACTTGCATGGTAATAAGCAGAAAAGCATGTGGTATAACCTAAAAATGTCGAAGGGGCGATGCAACTTAAAACATTTTACGAACAAAATGATTAAACAATATTTCAACGTGTTGGGTGAAGAGCTGTACTCTATTCTCTATTCTCTATTCTTCTCCTGTTGTAGTTACGAATTCCAGAGACATTCTTCCCCTCGAAACAATTCAATAAATGTCAACGTAGGGTCTTCTGTCCACCTTTGGGTCATTTCAACACAAAATTCCACAGAACTGCTTCAATTTGCTCTTGGAAATAGGATTGCTTTCTATTCCCTCGACTCACATTAGCACTTGGGCGAGTACTCCACTCCAGTACTGGAATAACAGTTTACATGAGACGAGTAATACTCTGTTTTAGTGACTCGTACCAGTTACTGGCACCGTGTAAAGTAGCCTTAAGATAAAGAAATAATGCAATTCGCAATATATCGCCGTAAGATGAGAGAGAGATGGAGCTGATTACAGCGCCGCCATCCGTTGGCTAACGTACTATTCGAGCATCAGACGTCCGTATCCTTCTGGGCTTCTATGGAGACTTCTGAATTCCTTGCCACTGCACTCGACAACTGTTAATGAAAATTGAAGCAATACATCGGACTTCATCATACAGCCCTTAGATATTTACAATTCATAAATTGTTGTTCAGCATTCTTGTAAAGACAAAACACTTCTAATCCTTCTAGGAAAACCTATGTCCGATGCGAAATGCAGAGTACAGTTGGCAGCTGAAAATTGCCAGCTACTCGCAGTGCTAATCAGAAGCTTACAGGGTACTCCCGGAGAATACTATCACTAACGATTTCATTTCTCAGATATATATAGGCTGACTCTTTCTTATCACCTTAAGAGGATATGAAAGAGGATATAGAACCCTTCAGTTCGTACAATTCTCAACGTATACTGTAAAAGATCAACATAAAGGGCCAAAAAGGGTATAGATGAATAATACTTTATCGACGTCGATTAAATTTCTTAGCGCCTTTCATATCCTCTTAACATGGTCTGTATTTCCTCCAATATGTTTTTTATTAAACCCCTGGCACCTGATGTCTAAGTACTTAGTGGAAAGTGACGTCATTGCACTTACTCCGAGGCTTCCAGTACAGTATGGAACACTCAAGTCGGAAGGGTTCTACGATGAAGTCATACCTTCTCCCTTTCGTACTTTGCGGACAAGTTGTCAGTGAACGTCGCTAGAAGCTTAATCTCTTCCTCTTGATCGCCGATAGTGCAATCCCTCACGTTTATTTCTTTTCGCAATTCCTCTCTCTCGTGCATCATACGTGTCAATTCTTTCCGTAGTTCTCCGTTTTCCCGCACGATGGCGTCCATTTCTCGCAAGGCCAAATCGCACTTTTCGGCGTCTTTCACGGCTTCGTCGACTCGTCTCTGTAATGAAATTAATTAGGGAACAAAGAACTTTAAATAGTATCTAAATAATATTTTAAGTTCTTCAGTTTTTTTTTTTTATTAATACTCTCTTTCAACTTTGGACATTTTGGAAAGCATTTCGAACTCTCAAATTTACGGTAGATCTGAAAAGAAAAAAAAAAGAGACTATTTTTAAGGAGAGTTTGAAACCTACAGTCTGGGAATCCCTATCAGCTTCCACTTCCTTAATGCGATACTTCAACTCTTTGATCTCTTCGGACTTCTTATGACATATAGAGGACTTCTGGTTAACCTCTTCTCTCAGCTGATCTATGCTGCGCTTATACGTCGACAACTGAGGAATAATATTCATATTACAGGCTGATAAGTTAAGGAAATTAAAATGAACACTGTACCTTTTGCTTCAAACCCTCCGCCTCATAGCTTCGATGGGTTTCCACTTCGTTCAGTTGCTCTCGAGTCAGCTAAGAGAGGAATCATTTGTGAATAGAAACAGTGTAAATTGAAAAACATTAACTTTAAAATCTATATTCGCACATTGAGGTCTCTTTGAACCATGCTTAGACGTTTTTCCTTATCCTGCAAAGCTGCCTCCAAACTTCGGTTAACCTCTCGAAGCTCTTCGACATCTGCACTTTTAGACTGAAATGTATTGTTTTGTATGCCTTGAATTTTATTTACAGTTGTTGGCTGATAATTAACAAATTACATACAGCAATCTCGTTCTTCAGTGCTATGATCTCCGAGTCCTTCTTTATAATAGTGGCCTCGAAGGTTTCATCTTCGCTTTCAGACTCTGTTCCAGAAGTTGTTCCTGTCCCGCTGTCAGTATTCGATTTGGCAGCAGACGATGCAGAGCTTTCAGAAGATACAAATTTCACTACGTCCCTTCTCCGTTGCATTTTTGATCGTTTCTTAAATCCACTATTATACTCATCGATGCTGATGAACTCCTTCGTTGGTGGTTGTGAAACGGTTTCCTTCAACATTTATTACATTAAGTCAAGTCAACAGTTTATGGACAATTAAAGTACGTACCCCTGGAGTAGCTGGACACGAATCAGTAGAATTACTTTTCTCTACGGTAGAATTTGAATTAACCTCATTTCCTTGTTGAGTGTAAACTTGCCTCTTCAATGATTCATTGTTGCACCCTCCGAGAGTGGATGATGGTGACCGAATGCTTCGAAGAGCCATTTGTGATTTCGCAGGAATATTATCCATAATGTATGCAGCTCCAACCAGTGGCTTCGCTATCTGTCCTATTGGCCATTTCCATGGCATTTGACTAACATAAACATACTTTTTGTCTGAAATAAATCATTACAAGGACAGATTAACAATTAAATCCTAACCTCTCTATACAGTATCGTACCTGCAAACTGTGGAATAGATTCTTCGTTCCTGTCACCGAGGGGATGTTCAGTTTGATTCAAAGCCTGCTCCCTACTGTAAGTACGCAAACAAACCGACACGAAGGAAACTGATCTTGTCGGTGGAATAATTTTATCCTTCGAGGCAGTATCTGTTCTCGAGAGCGATCTAGTTCTTTCTGTTGGCTTTGCTCTCCTTTTCCTACGATCTCTGGCTGGTCCTTCTTCCTGGAACTAGATGTAATTAGCAATAAATAAAACATTCCTTAATACTTCAGTTCCAATTAATGCAGCGAATGAAAAAATTCTTTAGGAAAAGAAACTTAACTGAGTCTCGCATCAAGAACATCAGTATTAAAACTCGTCCTCACTCCACCGATAAACATTTTTACTGACATTTGTCCCCTAATTTACTGATTTAACAAGGAATGATCTTTTAATAAATTAAACTTACCGCATTTTGCAATTGTTTCTCTTGCTCCGGAGTAAGTATAAGGGATTTGTACCTCTGTAGTTCCCTTCGTGCTGCGACCAGCTCATCGTGTGTCCTGGATCCGAGACTAAGTAAGTTGTCAATTATCACGTCGAAAGGAATAACCTTGCCTGGCTGGAAAGAAGAAATGTAAATACCTACCGTAATCAATTATCATATTAATTCAATTATCCCAACTGTGTATTACAAGATAACAATGAGTTAGAAATCATTTCAGGTACGCACCACCGAAGCATGTTCAGCAAGCTCTCGAAAATAGCGACAATTCTCCAGTGGATTCTGACTCCAAGCTCTGATGTCGGAGCAGGACTCGTAGATCTTCAAGCGACCCTCTGATCGCTTCCTGGGGAGTACGTAGTCTCCGTACAGTAACGGTGTACCATTGTTCGGTCTGCCAGCCAAGAAGATACGTGGCCCATGCTCAGCGTAAGACATCTTACTTGTCTGCAAGTCACCTCAGGAGGATTGCACTGCAGTAACTGGACCTCTTATGTGATTCCAAAAAATTCCTCAACTATCCGATGACTTCGACTCATGTTCGAGGCCAGATGTCAGTTAGCTCCGCCATACTTGTTGACATCCCATGGTAACGAAGGCTGATGAAGTGAAGAGCTACAAATTCAAGGCATATGAATTGACTCCTTACTTTAATAATTCAGTTTTAAAAATAAGACACTTCACAAAATGACTTTTATCTTCGCTCTTCCTTACAGCATTTCTTACATAACCTCCAAACACTTTACTAACAAAGAACCGATAAAAAGGTTTAAAAGAAATTGATCGTGGGACCTTTCTTAAAAGAAAAAAAAAACTACGCAAACCCACCGAGTAGTACTTGGTAAAGAATCACTTAACGTTTTACATATTAATACATGACTAATAATAACACTTAAATTAAATTAGCAGTGATAATATAAAACTAATGAAGGTAATAAAGTCAGTAAGATAAAAAAAGGAATGATAAATTAATTCCAGATATCCAACGACTTATATACTTTGCATTGTGCTATGATATCGGTAACTTTGTTTATTCAATAGAAGCATGATATTGAATCTAAATGGTTTCCTAAGGAAAAATAGAAAAGGGTAATTCGCAGGACCCTAAACTTGATGTTGTTTAACATGAAAATGTCTTTGCAAGGAACTTTCCGAACGCCACACCTCACATAACCTCCAAAAACAGTACGCAATCTCCTCATATAATTTTTCCTTTTATTTATTTCAATACGATACCGTGTATAAGAATACTTTTAGTCTTAAAAGTGCTACAATAGGAATGAGCATGGAAATGAATACACTTCGATGATACATTCGAGTCTTAACGACGGTGTACAAATGGAATGTCTTCGAAAGTCATACTTGTAGTACCGTACCCCTTTAGAAAAAGGCATTCCTTTCGAAACAGGGAAGGCACGCATAGCAATACGAGGATGCAGATTTACTGCACCCTCATCGATATGTTAAACACCCTTCGCAGTTCATCGGATTAGACCTAAACTCTTCAAGGTGATGTGACAGCATTGTTCCATCAACTGACTGCGACAACTTACAGACAAATACTCTCTGTGCTAATTAAGGTGAAGTGAAACCACCCTCAAATCAGTCGACTCGAATAAGACACTTTTTTTTAAAAGGTATCGGATCGAACCGTCTGAAACCTTAACACATGACTCGTGATCACTAAAGAATTATCCTAACACTTTCAAAATTTGGATTTTTGAACAAAATTGTTTAACTAAGCCTAGACCAGACCTCAGAATGGCGTCGAGCTTTAAAATTCCATCGATATACAATTATTGAAGACTCTAATATTAGAAACGAAAATGTTAGGCTAATTATAAAACAATTTAGAACACTCTGGTAATCGATAAACTCGCATTTGAACGGAATAAAGGCAAAAAAAAGATGTCTCATGCGCTGCTATGCTAAAACGACGATAAAACTAGGTCCCGGAGAGAAAATTTAGTTGACACGGAAATCACAGATGGCGCGGGGTGTCCCTTTGCAGTCAATCAGGGCCTCAGAAACCACGAATTCAGATGATTTCTGGAGTTTCACTTCGATTTCTCTATAATTATTGTACGAAAACGACGTATGATCAAGTCCCGATCAAGTCCCTCGACGTGTTTCACTCCACCTTAATCAAAGACATCCGCAGTTTCCCAAAGCCAGTTGACAAAACTAACGCACCACCTTGCACTATACATTACGACTCAACGCCTCTACTTGATTCGATAACAATTAACATTCGTTAAAAAATGGACTTAAAATTCGAAAACTTCAACACACTAAATACGTCAGCTGCGATACAAATAAGGGACACGAATAGGCGCATGTCTGTGCATAATCTAACGCAACGAGCTCGATTTACGCTCTATAAAAATTACGTTTGAATAAAATCCAGAGGACTTAACAGAAATCGAAATGTATAAATCGGAGGAAAAGGGGGAATTGATTAATCGACGCGCACCCTAATTCCATCCTTTCATTTGAGGATTCGCATCGATCGCTAACATTATATACAATTATCTTCATCGAAGGCCCCTCGCGTGCATTAAATAGTTGAAAACCGTTCCTGCATGATTATTTACAATCTTACGCGTTACTTGCTACCAAGTGATACGATAATATAGACAGATCTCTCTGCCGTGAGCTCGATTCGAGACATCCTCGAAGAACGTTTTTCTCCACTTCGTGAGCAAACCGTCAACGTGAATCGTTTATTATAACGAAGATATGGACGTAGAATGTATGTAGATCGCACGTAGATGCGGCTACGAAGGTAGCAGAAATTATAGAGAGAGAACAGAGGGCCTCTTTTCTTAATCTCTCTCTTTATATGAAACATACGCGACCTAGTATGACGCCAATCTATCAATAAAGGAGAAAAATAAAGAAAATTCACTTTATTCTCTTTCCTTTTCGTTGCTTTCACATGCTTATAAAGAAAATTGCTGATTTTGTGGGCTCCATACATCCTACGTCCATGAACGAAGACCCTCCAGATGAGATTTCTTGGAGTTGGACTTCTTCCAAAGATAATAAATCATCCCATCTGCTCTGAAAATTCTCAAATAACCGAGGACATAATTATTACCTGGACAACAATGTCCAAAATCCCCCTCACAGAACACCTCGATTACGTTACAATGATATTCCTCCATCCTGAGCGTCTAGGGTTCTATTTAAGTACACTTCGAGTAGTGATATTAAGTACTAGTCGATAATTGCTTAATACTTCCCGTGTAAATTGCTGCCATTAATACTTGGATTATAGAATTAAGATTCGTAAGATGACGTTTGACATTCCTGACAAGCCGTCGATCCACAAGAACCTCCGACATTGAATTATCCCCACCCGACAGATCACATTTTCTCATTAAGTACGTTAACATATAAATCTCTTCAATAAAAGACCAAATAAAAAAAGGAATGAAAATAGATACAGCCAGTGCAGATTTCTATGAATCTCTCTGCGAATTCATAAACGATTATCGCGCAAAAATAAAAGAAGTAATACGTGTAAAACCACCGTTACTTAAGTACATGTAAGTGACACATCGATCGTTTCGAGTTCCTCCTTGGTTCGAGGACACCCTGCTAGGTTATGTCCGACACAAGTTTCCTAACCTTCAAAACGAGGACCTCAAACTCGAAACTCTACTAGGCGTTAGCCAACCTGGAAGGCACTCTGGATAAATACGTTTTATAAAAATACTTTCGGATTTTAGGTATCAGTCATTGTTACGCACTGCACTCGAGCCGAGCCATCGGTTCGCCAGGATACTACGCAGGATACTTTGCCGTAAACGTTTCCCCCCAAAATCTCTCTTTTGCCTGGTCGACAAATCCCAGGGAACACAAAACAGGGGGGAAACCTCATGCCTGGTCAAACCTAACCTCAATTATTGACAAACCTCGTGCGACTTGGTCTATAAATGCAAGACCCCTTGATCGTGGCTGAAGTGGTTATGGTGGTGATGGTGGTGATGGTGCAAATGATGGTGCTGCGACGTAGAGGTGGCCCCATCGTCGTGTAAGGTGATACCTGTCAAGTCGACTATCTCATCGGCATCCTCGTCGCTACCTGTCGCAGCACTTTGTGTCGATTGATGGCTTCCGGATGACAGCTGGCTGTTACGAGAGAATGATCCACGCCGAGGAGCTGACAATGCTGCTCGCTGGTTCGCAGGCTTCACCGTTATGATAAGGTTTGAAGAGTTGGCAATCATCATGTCTGTAACCTAGTTAAAAGGAGGTTATGTATTCCATGTATTACACGTGTGAATTAGCATAAGGAGCTCCCACTCTATAGATGTTCTTGAAATTTCATTTTAAACACAAAAATTAGTTTATTTATCCTAGACTAGAACCAAGAATGCATATATATTATTTTTAATGAAATTTCATGAGCACCATGTTCTTCCTTAGAGCCTCTATAACCATGAGCCGAAATTTCCAACGATTCAATGCCCCCAGTTTGGAGAAAAGTTTTATAAACACTTTTAAAGTTTTATATATATAGAATGACCTTGTCATATCACCTTAAGTTGACACGGGATATCTAGAGAATAGTTTTGATTTAAAAAATAACAAAAAAGTGTCAAATAAAATAGTTTTACCAAAGCAACATATGATGTTGGTGGTTGCTTTTTATTTGGCAAAGATTTTCAAGATTATTCCAAAGTTAAATGTTACCTGATCAAGAGTCTTTCCTGCAACCTCGATGCCGTTGACTTCCAGAACTTCGTCGTTGACTGCCAAGAGTCCTGTACTTTCGGCCAAGCCACCGGGTACGAGTCTGCTGATAAATACACCTGGAACCTTCTCGATACCACCACCTGCCGAGGGTGGGAGCACACGAAAGCTCTCTCCATCTTTAATATAAAAGCCTAGAGGCTTATCCGATCCATGCTTCAAGAGGCGCACACGACGACAGGTCTCAGGAAGAATATCAACGTCGATTATCGCTGATACCTGTATTTGTTACAGACTTGACAATAACTATACAAGTAACTTTAAGAAGTATTAAGGATGAAGTGAAACCTTCCATAAACCAGTCAACTTGAATAAAGCACTTTTTTTTAAGAATATTGGAAAAAACTGTCTGCAAATTCGACACATGACTTGTGAACACTAAAGAATTGTCCTGACGCTTTCAAAATTTGGATTTTAGAACAATATTGTTTGACTTAGCCTCAACCAGAACCAACAACTAGTTCCTCTGTGGGTTTCACTTCACCTTAATAATATATGAATTATATCATAAATTAATAATATATGGAAACAGATTACAGACCTGTCGAAAGTCATGAGGATTAGATATAGCAAGGGACTTCGGTTTACCAGGAGTTCCTCCTAAAATACTCGAAATCAGGTTTTTCGGTTTCATAGTCCCATATCCGTTTATGTCCTCCAGCCCATCCCCTAAAATCCATCAATTAAATTAGTACAATTCATTATATTTTACGTCACTATTATTTTCATTTTCTTTTACAGAGAATATGTGACAAGAATGCGAGAACTGTCATATTTTTGCAGTATTACGTGTCACCTAGGACACTTAAATCGAAAGCTAGTCAATGGAATGCAGATGAATATGCAGATGTCTACTCGCATCGATTAAAATTCATCAGCAGTGATGCATCCGTTTCAAGGTACATTACTATATGCCATTAAATATTCCTTGCTCGCAGCCCATGTGCGTATTGAGATTCATCTATTCGCATTCGTGAGCTGGGATTAATGGAATGATTGGGTAGCGATAGCAAGCAACTTAATGAAGCGATAAAATCTAACCTCGAGAATGGAGAGCAGCGTGACTAATTAACATGAAAACCCAAGATGAGTTAACATCACCGTTGCTTCCGTTAAATTACTTTGAAACAGTCGATTTAACATAACTGGGCAAAGAAAATCTGAGCCAGAAATGCAAATCCTTTTCTCTATATACAAATTCTCAACAGAATGCTAAGATTAGCGTATTGTATATTTATTAGCAAAAATTAATGGAATAATCGGGAACATCGAGCAACATAACGAAGCAATAAAATCTAACCTCGCGGATGGAGAGCAGTGTGACTAATTAACATAAAAACCACAAGATAAGTTAACCTCACCGTTCCTCCCACAAAATTATATTGAAACAGTAGATAGAACATAACCGATCGAAGCGAACCCAATGCATAAACGCAAATACCTTTTCTCTGTATAAAAATTCTCAAGAGCGGCCTCGCAGCCAGTAGAGCTCTGGCGAGATTATTGTCGTTATTAATGGGCAGCAGGTCTCCGTCGGTAGGATCGGTGTACCATATCAAGAAGTTAAAATCAGGTCCCAGATCGTGCCTCTCCGACAAGAGCTTCTTGAAGTCCTCATAGCTGATGGGTTCGTTGCGGTTTATGGAAAACCTTATAATGTCGGCGTCAAACTGTTGAAGAGAATAGAGTCAATCGATGGTCTTCCCACGCTCCGAAGGGGCTACCGAGGAAGTCATCAGGCTCTCGAAGCTATGTCTCACCTTGCTTTTGACCGCGACGATGCCGTTGTCTACGTGATGGTGAAGTTTACTTTTGGACATGGTCTCTGGAGGCTCGAAGGCGAGTTATGAAAAATCCCGTGATGCGTCTCACCTCTCCCTGGAAGACCTCGACGAGCCTTGAACGGGTCGGCGAGATGACAGGCGAGATGACAGGCTACGAGGGACGCATTTTGGGCCGAGGCGAGCGCGAAATCTGGTGTAGGTGACGTCAGGGACACCTGCTCGGTGGCAACGCCACTCGGCCGTTCCCGATCCGCCTCGATTCGCCTGTCTCGACGTGTTCACTAGCTCCTAGGTCGACTCGACTTCTCCCGAGGATTCGCTCGACGGCTCGACTATCAGCTCACGTACCGCGGCATAGCAGACCTCGATTTCTCCGCTGTCTACGTGCGCGGATGCAGCCGAGCTTGTTTTCACGACTCGTCGGCTCGCCAGTCTTCACCCATCTCCCCGAGATGTGTCGCCGGAGCTCCGGGAGAGATGACGTATGGTCCGAATGATACGCTGCGACGACAGCGCCGCCACTCGTAGAGGCGTTCAACTATTAATACCAGGGGGTCTATTACGTAAAACAAATTGAGCGAAAATGTAAAAAATGAGTAGCTTACGGTATTACGTTCCGCTTTGGGAGTGAAAATGCGAGACCATTCATACGAACTGGCTCGGCAGGAATTTTTAAGTGAAATAGTGAAGCATGCAAGAAAAGATAGACAAATAAACGCCGTGAACGCCATCTTCCATGGATTGTGACACGGAAATTCAAAATGGAAAATCTCCTGGGAGTTTTGATTTTTGGCAACAATCGTATTCGGGGACGTAATAATAACCTTATTAGAAGAAGAAGGAAATTAATAATCCTTGACGAAATGATTTAACAGAATTTTTAGGGAAATTTAACCCCTTGAGCGCGGAGGCATTTCGACATACGGGCGAAATTCGTCTGACCGTGCAGGCAATATTCGACCAAACGTCGGGCGCCCTTAGGAGCTCTTAGCAGCCAAAGGGTTAAAGTGTCATATATATAATATAAAAAAAAAATTAAATTTTGCGAGTTTCAGGACCTACCTTAGGGTTTCCATATTCACGTTTTAAAGTATGAAACGATTTGAGACATCCAGTTCGTAGAAAAGTTTTATGAACGATTGAGCTTTTGGATGCCACTTTCACATCCCCTTAACACCTCTTAAGCCGTTAAAAACCTTTTATCTCGCGTTTCTTTTTTTTTTCCATGCTAAATGCCAGGTTTGCGAAATATCAGACTCGATCTCGCAGACGTGAAAATGCATGTTAAGACTATTCCTTTAAACCTCGATAGCGATCGACAAACGGCGTTAAATGCTCCCTTAAACCAGGTTTTCCCCTTAAAAGTTAAATAAACGAAAGCAGTGGGATTCTCGCAACAGTTGAAAAATATGCCTCGACTCGGAGGGGTCTTTCTTGTATTTTTTGCAGAGCTGATTTTTAATATCAGCTTTTCTCGCGCTTTTCCCAATGATTTGCGATCCTTCTCCGAGATCCAGGAGGATCTGGGGGATTGCTTCGAGGAATTAACGAAAGGATATTTCGAGGGCCTTAATGAGATCGTGATGGTTGGCTTTGGAACCGATTTTTGGCTGCCGAAGGACTCGGAATGGATTTCGAAAATTATTTTGAACCCCGGGGTAGACGATCCTTCGTCTCTGTCGTTTCTCGATAAACGTGCTCTGATATTTCTGAATGGGCAGGATTTTCATGAGGATTTAAGGTGGGAGAAAAATGTCCTTTTTTCAATCTTGTCCGGAATAAATACACTTTTTTTTTCTTTTTTGAGAAATGAAATTTCGTAAAGCCTTCGTAATCACGTGTTAAATTTTCAAATTATCCCGTGCACCGAGTTTAGAGAATTTATGTAAAGATTTTGACGTTTTACATGTATTTAAGGGGATGCGAAAGTGGCATCCGAAAGCTCAATCGTTCATAAAACTTTTCATAGAACTGGGTGTCTCAAATCGTTTCATACTTTAAAACGTGAATATGAAGACCCTAAGGTAGGTCCTGAAACTCGGGAAATTTCATTTTTTATATACTATTTTTAAAATACCTATAACAAAATTTGAAAAGAATTGAAATTTCATGAGTTTCAGGACCTTCCTTATAGTCTCCCTATCCACGTTGTAACGTTTCAAGCTATTCGGTAAATCGAGTTTGGAAAAAATGTTTATAAACCAAACCTCATCGACGGCACTTTCACATCACCTTAATGATCCTTTCATATCACCTTAAGGTCCTTGGAATACCTGAAGAGGGGTCATCCTCGCGAGCCTCATCTCGTCCGCATTAACAACGATCCGAATGAAAGTTCTTCGACTTCTGAACAATACATACAGGTGTGAGAATAAATTTGCGGTATTAATAAAATTGAATATTCACGCGACATTAGAATTCGAATAAATAAGTATAACGTAACCTTCAGTACTCCAGCCGAAGATTCTCGTCGGCGCAATTACCATCAATTAACTTACGCAAATATTAATATTACATGGATTTTTGCAGACGATCGTGGACTACTTGGCGAGTATAGAAAGAAACGCCACGTTGGCTTCGAACGTCCTCGAGGAAACCGGAAGTAAGGCTCTTCGTCTCTTCAGCTACAGCGTCTACTCCGAGAGAAGTTGCGGTCCTGCTCGTATCCTGAATTACGGGAATTATTATTGCGGAGTCAAGCCTGCCATTGCCCCCCGAAGTGCATCCCCCAGTAAGATGAACCTGCAGAGATGTATTTTTAAATTAGGGGTGGTCCCCTTGCCGCCATTCATGAAGAAAAACGACGTCCTGGAAGAGTCGGTCCCGGAGGGCGCCGAATGGTGGCTCTTCAAGGCCATTGCAGAGAAGCTGAACTCGACCCTGGAAATTGTTTGGCTGTTCAACGGCACCATGGCAAGGAACGGTGTATCCAGAGCCGAGATGGATGTTGCAATCGGGACCCTCTTCCAAAAGGACCACCCTGGAGTGATATACTCGACGAGTTACATGTTTTGGGCGGGGAATGTGCTGATGCCGAAGAAAGACCCTATGCCGCTTTGGCTGAACCTTTGGTTGCCTCTGCAACCGACAGTAAACTGGATTCATTTTCATAGCAAATAAGTTGGAAAACGTCCTATTCACTTTTTTTTGTTCGAGGGGCTATTCACTTGGAAATCAGTGAAAACGATTTTCTTCTTGGAGAGCATATGTGCCCATAATTATGAAAGTGGTCTAAGTCAAAATAAAAAAAAAAAATGAGTTTATCAGTTATTTCACGCCATATTATTTCAAACGAAATTAATTCAATGTAATTTCGAAACAAAAAATATATGACTTAGACCACTTCCATAATTATGGGCACATATGGCCTTTGATTTTATATAATAGACAACAATATGATTCGGTAACAAGGGACGTTTGGCCTTAAGATTTCGATTCAGTAAACTGGATTCATTTTCATAGCAAATAAGCTGGAAAACGTCCTATCCACTTTTCTTTGTTCGAGGGGCTATTCACTTGGAAATCAGTGAAAACGATTTTCTTCTTGGAGAGCATATGGTCATTAATTTCATATAATAGACAACAATATGATTCGGTAACAAGGGACGTTTGGCCTTAAGGGGATGTGAAAGTGGCATCCGAAAGCTCAATCGTTCATAAAACTTTTCTTAGAACTGGGTGTCTCAAATCATTTCATACTCTGAAACGTGAATATGGAGAACCCAAGGTAGGTTCTGAAACTCGGGAAATTTCATTTTTTACAAATTATTTTTAAAATACCTATAAACAAATTTGAAAAGAATTTAAATTTCATGAGTTTCAGGACCTTCCTTATAGTCTCCCTATTCACGTTGTAACGTTTCAAACTATTCGGTAAACCGAGTAGGGAGAAAAGTTTTATTAACAAAACCGCTTCGACGCCACTTTCACATCACCTTAAAATTTCGATTAAGTAAACTGGATTCATTTTTTCATGAAAATCGGTCGAGTGTTTCTAAATGAAACAACCAACTCACCCCCTTGCTCGGCCAATTTTGAAGCCTGATTTCACCCCTAAAAGTGTTTATCCACCGATAAAAAAAAAAACACGAGTCCCTTAGACTTTAGTCCTCTTTAACATATTTAAAAATGAACAAAATCGGAGGGGGGACACCTTAAGTACCTTCCTTGTTAGTTCATAAGCGGGATATTTACACTGAATCGAATTTTGAAACGGGAGATTTTTTGGGAGTGCAATTTTAAAATGCAGAATTTCTTCCGAATGCGAGATCTAATGTGGGTGTAATGTTAAAACCCGAGATTTATCCTGAGTCCAATTTTAAATTGTGAGCTCGAGTGCCTCTTTGACGTTTCAATTGACATCACCTTAATTAATTGGAAATTAATTGCTATTCAGGTCTGGATCGCCGTGATCGCCTCGGTGATCATAGGGTGCATCCTCACCTCCAGGATCCCGATCATCAGGAAGGAATTACCACCACCCAGCATCCTGGGGATCTTTCTCGGGCTCGGTGAAGTCGAAAAAGCTCGCAGGATCTCCTCCAGGATCTACTTCTGCTCTTGGGCGATTTGTGGATACGTTATCGTCCAGAGTTATCTGGCAGACCTGACGGGCCGTTTCACGATTCCGACTCCTCAGAAGGAAATTCAGTCCGTGGAAGAGCTGGAACGATCTGGGTATCCATTCGCTGGGATTGGGGTTACCAGAGAGGAATTTCAGGAATCCAATCCGGGATTGTACCAGCGTTACGAGGTGACGTAGATTTTATTTCAATTTAATGAAGGTGATGTGAAAGTGCCGTCGAAGAGGTTTTGTTTATAAAACTTTTCTCCCAACTCGATCTACCGAATAGTTTGAAACATTACAACGTGAATGGGGAGACTGTAAGGAAGGTCCTGAAACTCATGGAATTTCATTTCTTTTGAAATTTGTTTATAGGCATTTTAAAAATAGTTTATAAAAAATGTAATTTCGCGAGTTTCGGGACCTACCTTAGGGTCTCCATATTCACGTTTTAAAGTATAAACGATTGAGCTTTCGGATACCACTTTCACATCTCCTTAAGGTGATGTGAAAGTGCCGTCGAAGAGGTTTTGTTTATAAAACTTTTCTCCCAACTCGGTTTACCGAATAGTTTGAAACTTTACAACGTGAATAGGGAAACTATAAGGAAGGTCTTGAAACTTATGAAATTTCAATTCTTTTGAAATTTTTTTATAGGCATTTTAAATATAGTTTATAAAAAATGTAATTTAACGAGTTTCAGGACCTATCGTAGGGTCTCAATATTCATGTTTTAAAGTATGAAACGATTTGAGACACCCAGTTTTATGAAAAGTTTTATAAACGATTGAGCTTTCGGATGCCACTTTCACATCCCCTTAAGACCGATAATCAATTATTAAACGAAACCTCCACGACTGCAATGGCATCGACTGTTTTTGTCCATCCTTTTCTCTTACATTTATTACATTAACAATGATTTTTTAGTATTAAATTTCTGCCATTTAATTAATTCTTTTTCATTGAATTTCATTATCAGGAGCTGGCAGACTTTGACACGTACAAGCTCATGTCGGACATGATGCACAAGCGAGCGAAAAGTGCACTTTACACGGATGGAATCACGGTAAGGAAAGAAGGCACGTAAAAGGAATTCTGCAAAACCACTGCCATTAAATCGGAAAACAATTGAAAGCAATTGAAAATATTCTCTCCCACTGAATACCAGACCTAACAGTAACGTAACTTAAAACTAACAAATAACATAACGTTCGTTACAATGTAATAACCTAACGGTTACGTAACATAGATCTAACTAGTTACATGACATTTGTTGCTATCATATCTATATAAATCTAGCATAACTTTGTTATTCTCATCTTACATTACGTTACTGTCCTGATATTACTGTGTATATGCAGCACATATCTGTAACAATACGAAACTACATTGGGGCTAACTGTCATTTATTTTATTACATCATCGTCATCATCATTGTCATAATTCATCGTCAAATGTCACAATATTAATATATGTCATATATTGTTTACTACTCGTATGAAAAAATGTGACTTTAATTCATACGCGCATATACATTATCAGTCATTGTTTGCTAGTCGTATGAAATCCTAATTGTCTTTAAGTAAAATCAGATAGTTTATCATTACATAATATCATCGAAAGTCATTTGATATGTCATTTAATATCTAACTATTGTCAAGTACCAGAAAATAATTAAAAAAATAAAAAATGATATAATTTTGGATAAAATTGCATCATCCTTTTTATTAAACGTACGAAAAATTAATATTATTTCTAGGTAACTGAAATTATAACATCAATATAACATCAATATAACATCAATATAACATTAATATAACATGTTACATAACATGTTACCATCTGGGTGGGAAATAATAACTAACACCTAACTTCCACGTTACTTTTATGCTACATAACATGTTAGTTTTTTTTTTAATTTCGAAAACGTAACATTTACCCCACAGTTATATAACAGTGTTCACTGGGATTATAATTTGCCTAATTTTTTTGTTGAAATATTCCAGATTCGCCTGTTCGCCGGAAATGCGAAGAAGAGGGGCATCGTGCACCAAATCCCGGAAGATTTGCGTCTCTATCCGACTGCTGCTCTTCTTCCAGAGGGGTCCAAGCTGTTATCAACCGTGAATCGAGCGATAACCGATCTCTTTGAAACCGGCCACATAGAGCATTGGATGGACGAATACGCGAAATTGGAGAACAAGTCCATGGGGTTTTACGAGTCCGCAGAACCCTTGGAAAGCGAAACCCCCGAAGAGCCTGAAGAATCTAGTGAAAAATCTCGAACGTACACGACGGACGACTTCCAAGGAGTCTTTATCATCTACTCGATCGGAATAAGTGCCAGCTCATTGGCTTTCCTGATAGAACTCTTATCAAAGTACAAGTTCCCCCTCTACAAGTTGGTCCTGAAATTGCGGACGTATTTGGTATTTTCAAAAGTCCAAGTCCCGATTTAATTTTTTTAAATACCTCCCAAGGCCACTTACAAATATTTCAATCATCTTGATTGAAATATTTGTGTTTAAAAGTGATTATCATTTTAATTATTTTTTCCTACTAGACAATAGTTAGATATTAAATGACAAATCAGATTTTCAATTAAATTATGTAATGATAAACTATCCGATTTTACTTAAAGACAATTAGGATTTCATTCGACTAGCAAACAATGACTGATAATGAATATGTGCGTACGAATTAGTCACATTTTTTCATACGAGTAGTAAGCAAAATATGACATATATTAATCCTATTACATTTGACGATAAATTATGACAATGACGATGACGATAATGTAATAAAATAAATGACAGCATCAATGTGGTTCTGTTTTGTTACAAATTTGTGCTGTATATACACAGTAATATCAGGACAGTAACATAATGACAATAACAAAGTTATGCTACATTTATATAGATATGATAGCAACAAATGTCATGTAACTAGTTAGCTCTATGTTACGTAACCATTAGGTTATTACATAGTAACAAACGTTATGCAATTTGTTAGTGTTAAGTTACGTAACTGTTAGGTTTGGAGTTCAATGGGTATGATTAATTGTTACCGTCTAAAATGAACGGATAAAAAAAGTACTCGTATAGAAAAGCCGATCAATTTGAAGGATTCAAATTGATTACATTACGATTATATGTGCCCATAATTATGAAAGTGGTCTAAGTCATATATTTTTTGTTTCGAAATTACATTGAATTAATTTCGTTTGAAATAATATGGCGTGAAATAACTGATAAACTCATTTTTTTTTTTTTAATTTTGACTTAGACCACTTTCATAATTATGGGCACATATTTTCAGAGTCAATCATACCTTGTAGTCCTGGCGGGTCGTTAGTCCTTGCACCTCTCCAGGGGCAAACGCAAAAGGAATATCAATAATAATTTCCGCCATAAATGAACAGAATACCCGTCGATAAAATTCGAGACATTCCGAGGATTCGTTATGTTTATTACGATTTTATTTCGAGGGTTAATCATCCCTTGTAGTCCTGGCGTGTCGTTACTCCGCGGATCCTTGCACCTCTTCGGCAGCTTAACTTGTAAGAACGTCCTTTTTGCGGCCACGGCTCAGCTTAATCGCTCTAAATCCATATCGATCGCTGTAAACAGTAGCTGGTTATAATATAGTAAAATAGTACGTATCCTAATGTGTCCTGCCGCAAGGATATCGAGTTCACGCACTTAATAATAGGTAAACCTAAGCTCCTCTCTCCGACAGTAATAAAAGCACGCACTCGACGTAAGGGATGCAAATCGCACGGTACTCGTATGTATTCATTGTAATTCTCCTTTTCCGTGTTACAGCACAGTGGTCCATTGTATAGTTTAATATAGTAATATACATAGATTCTTTTTAATATCGCTTCCTTCCCTTATATCGCGTCGGTATCGAAAAAGCTCACCAGGTCGATTCGGCCAAAGTCTCTGCGCTTTTCTCTTTCTCTTCTGGTTCTTTTTTTTTTCCTTTTTTTTTATCGAGTATAAAGGGGAGGAGGGGTTTTGCCGAAGTATGCCAAAGTGTACCAAATCATGCCATTTACGTATCGACTCGAATTTACCGGCCTCGAATTAGGGTGTACCGAAAGTACTCTCTAAGGCTACACTTAACTAATTAGTTATCATACTATCAGTGGCGCAATCGTCGATAGACATTACACGAGCTACGAGACAGTGTTTATCCGATTTAGGAGTAATTACGTCTAAACATTGACAATCAGGCTGCCGTTCGCAATTGCAGACCAAGCGGTATTTCATCCCTTTTTTAATATATAAAAAAGTCAATCGGAATCGAGAATGAAAGTTTCTTCAGAAATACTGATCATTTTTCGTCCGTGCATTTAGTACTTGCGAGAAATAAAAATAGGTCCTCTAGCCGTCGATTAATTTAAACGTTATGTCGAATCTCAGAGACGAACGAAATTTTAAGTTTATGTCAATGTGGCTCAATTGTTTAATTAATTAAATCTTTGAGCAACTTCGATGTACCGAATCGTTTGAAGCATTGCCACGTAAATATGCAAGTCCTAAGAGAAGTCCATGTAATTTTTATTTATTAGAAGGAAAGAAAAGGGAAAGAAAGAAAAAAGGAAATGGCTTCCTATTCCAAGCTACAGTTTTGCGTTTTTGTTCCCGCTGGTCAAAAGCCTGTCCTTTCACCGCATATTTCGCTATTTTTTTACTTTTTCTTTTTCCTTTTGTTTATCGACAAGGTACGTAGGCCCTTGTCACACCTGTTCATCGACACCGCATGATTCTTTTTTTCCACCTGCGCACCCGAAGGGAGAAAAGAGTCGACCTTCAGAGAAAAGAGAGCCCTACGTTAATTCGAGTAATAAATTGTCTTATCACAGTGGGTGATGAGACTCGATGTGTCCTAGAATCGAGATGTCTAGTCACAGTCGATAAAAAGGCTCGTCATTTACAATCGCCCTGTTTCCACGATTTCACTCTCTTCTGCCGATCAGCTGGATTGCCGAGGAAGTCGCTGCAAAATGAACACCCAATGTCAATTAACCATCTCCTACCCTGAGAAAGAAAGAAAAAAAAAACTAACTGAACCGACGAAACACTTCTTCAAATAGTACCAATGAGATATTTTCTTAATTCAAGGAATAATTCCAGTGAATTAATTATTCCTTGAATTTAGAAGATCTTCCTTTAGTACTCCAAAGAAATACTTCGTCGCTTCAATGTTGTTAAAAAAATTCACTGAACCGAAGAAACACTTCTTCAAATAGTACCAAAGAGATATTTTCTTAATTCAAGGAATAATTTCAGTGAATTAATTATTCCTTGAATTTAGAAGATCTTCCTTTAGTACTCCAAAGAAATACTTCGTCGCTTCAATATTGTCAAAAAACACTCAAAAAAATTCACTGAACTGAAGAAACACTTCTTCAAATAGTACCAAAGAGATATTTCCTTAACTCAAGGAATAATTCCAGTGAATTAATTATTCCTTGAATTTAGAAGATCTTCCTTTAGTACTCCAAAGAAATACTTCGTCGCTTCAATGAAATATTTTTTCTTATTCTCCACGTCACGGCAATTACTTCCACTCCGATAAAGAGATGCAACGGAATTGACTTTTCGTTTAATCGCTCAGTACGTCCTATCGGTAAAGTATATTCGACATCCCCAGCAGAAATTCTGCACGCGAGAGTACAAGACATTGCCCTCGTTTCTATTGACTTTGAAGTGTGATTTGTTCGCTGATAAAAATCCCGATGTAAATTAACGCACACGACGATATCGCGTTCGGCATCTGAGTTAAGGGATTTTCGCAGCGCTCCGGTAAATCGCCTTTCAAGCCGGCATTTTTGTAAATAAAAAAAAATACAAAAAGAGCATTCTTTTGTTTAATAGTAGTACAATACCTTCCTGTACTTGAATTTGGATAAAAACGTTTTAATTCTTAAAAAAAAATTCTTGAAAAACCGTAATTGTTCGGTGGGTCAAAGTGGTGTAACCCCTTAATGAACATTACCACGTGGCGTTACATTTATCTCAAGTTGAAATGCGCCAACACGATAAACATACGACGTTAAATGTATTTCTACATTTTATAATATCCAACAATTCGACCTTACGATTTTCCCCAGGCATTAAACATGAATAACGAGGTGTGTGGAATTTCCATGGATTCTTATCAGCGTCCACTTACGACGAATAAATCCCTCTTTTTTTCGGCCGGACATCGCGCTTTTCCGCTTTCCTTAGAAAAGAACCTCTCGCACCCTCTTCGTTATTATTTTCCCTCTCTTGGCCCTGGACATTCATCCGCATTATTCTGAACACTCTTTACGTACACTCTACATATGAGATATGGGTCTACCCGTTATACAGTCTTCTATGTGCTCTACTCGATTAAAAGGGTGTAATCGAAACTGGCGGAGAGAGATCGGTACATTTGTCGCCCTGCGGGTTGAATAAAAATAATTAACCGCCAGAGCCGTCTGATTTCCATATCCCGGGAAGATCAGTCCACCTCCACCAGGAACAGCGCAGGTATTCCGGGATTTTCTGCTAACGTCTACCCGAGACCGGAAATTCTGGCTCGTTATTTAACCCTTTCCTAATCTCTCTCCCAGATTCTCATCTCTTAAGCGTAAATACTATCAGGTATTATAAGTCAGAGAGACATTGATATCGAAAGCGTGTCGCAAACTCCGCAGAAGATACGTAAATGTTAACTTTCCACCTCTAGGTGCAAAAGGGAGGGACGCCATGTTTCTTTCAGGAATTCCCACCCCCACGCATACACCACATAACCTCCAAAACGGAAGAATCTGAAGGAACGTTGTACAGGAGAATCCATGAGTCTATACGGCATGCAGTCCTCTATTTTGCGAGTACAACGACGATCGTCAATTCCCCGCCGAATTGACTTTTCTTTCTTCCACGATGAAACTGATGTTTAAGGTGAAGTGAAACACGTCGAGGAACTTGATCGACGTCGATAAAGATTTTCCTAAATGCCTACGTTGCCGAAGTTGGTTTTTATATTAACAGCTGTGTCGAATTATATTGGTTATTGTACCGAATGGCATACTCCACCTGTCGTTTCCGTACAATAAATATCAAGAAATCGAAGTAAAACTCCAGAAATCCTCTGGATTCATGCTTTCTAGGGCCCTAATTGACTGCAGAGGGACTCCCTGCGCCATCTGTGATTTCCAGATCAATTAAATTTTCACTCCGAGATCTCATATTCCCATCGTTTTGGCATAGAAGCGCATACAACACTTTTTTTGCCTTTATCCCGTTGAAATGCGAGTTTATCGATTACAAGTGTTCTAAATTGCCGTAAAATTGTCCTGACCCTTTCGTTTCTCATATGTGCCCATAATTATGAAAGTGGTCTAAGTCATATATTTTTTGTTTCGAAATTACATTGAATTAATTTCGTTTGAAATAATATGGCGTGAAATAACTGATAAACTCATTTTCTTTTTAATTTTGACTTAGACCACTTTCATAATTATGGGCACATATCAGAGCCTTCGATAATTGTATATTGATAGAAATATGAGAGCTCGACGCCATTTTGGTTCTGACCTGGGCTGAGTTAAAGAATTTTTTCGAAAAATCCAAATTTTCAATGTGTCAGGACAATTCTTAGATGATCAGGAGTGACGTGTCAAAGTTTCGGACAGTTTGGTCTAATACCCTTAAAAGAAAAGTGTTGTATTCGAATCGACTGATTTGAAGGGGGTTTCACTTCACCTTAACGGTTCCTGCGTAATGGATGCTGGACGAGAGAAGCGCAGAGATGATTACGTTCTTTAGAAGTACTCGTTTAATCGCATTTAAGGGTCAAATGACCCGTCAGATCGGAAACGATGGGTGTATAGAAGTATATAAGACCTCGGTCGAGCCCGTGCACTTGGCGCGAGACGCAGCCGAGCATCCAGACAAGGAAACGGACAGGGTTTCTTTACACGGTAAGTCGGCTTAGCCGGGACACTCCGCTGGCCAAAACCCCCAAAACGAGAAAAGGCGATACGTAGAGTTGTCAAAACGACATCGCCGACTCGTTTCGAGGCATTTGGAAGAGTTTCCGCACGTCTTGGGTTTGATCAATCGATTATAGTCGACAATGTTTGTACGCGCCTGACCAAAAATGGCCGAGTGTGTTCGTACGCACGTTCTCGAAAATGGTTTCGCCTTTCGAGGGCCAAAAACTCCAACAGGTCAACATTTCACTTAACAAATAAACCGTTGAAATAATGTAAAGGACCTAGAAAGTGACTAACAAAAAGGAACCGTACCATGGGAAAGTGCTCTCGACAGTGAATTTTGATAAGCGGAAGCTTTATCATCCGAGAATTCCCATGGAATTATACGATCCCTTAATGAAATCAGTCAAGCAAGTTAGATTAAACGACCAGGTCGTTTCCACTTCCTCTTAACGGCGTTCTCTCTTTTCATTCCGAAAGGAAGCGTTCCCTTGAAATTAGCAAAAACGTATTTTCTCCACCGTGAGAGATCAACGAGTCAGACCATTTTTCCAAACGTCCGTACTTCTTGTATGCCATGTTGGCAAGAACAAAGGCGAATCGTCGTAAGGGTGTCTCAAAGTAGGATGGACCTCCGATGGAAAATCCCCAAGTGTCTCCCTCTTTCGCGATTGCCAGTAACTATCCTCCTAGCAGAGAAGTACTGCAAATCGACGTTTCGCGGCGCCACAGTCAGGCGATAGCCGGCTCCAAAATCGCGATTTCCCTCTCTTCGATGCACCCTAACCACAACATGCCCTTTACATTAACCGCTACAATTGCATAACGCTATTAAAGTACAGGTAGTAATCGTTAGCATTAATATGATTCGTATATTTCACCGGCGAGGAGCGTCTCCGATGCGAGTTCCCCTTTCGCGCACTCGCCGCAAATCTATAATATGTACAGAATAATTCGTCGCCTTTTATACCATTATTCGGACAGAGAAGCCAAGCCCGAAAGCCTCTGTTAAGAGCCACCAGGGGGTCGAATGTTTAGAGTTCTAAAATTCTCGGTAACATTAAATTGGAGAAGGTAACTGTGAAACATACCGTAAGTTACCGGGAACATTGAGAATTTAAGAGAACGTTAATTTTGTTATTTATACTTTAGGTTTCTTCGTTTAAATAACTTTTTTTTTTTCAATCAACTTCAAAATTCAAGCTAAAGAGTAATAATTACTATTAGAAAATATTGATTGTAGGGTCGTATTTACCTCCAGCTAAAAATATTCACGTATGTACAACTTCACGGAAAATTCCATGCGATTTGTTTCAAACGAACTGATATTTCATTCTGCGACGAAGCGAATGGGAGGTTTTGATTGGCTACGGAGAACGTACAACGGAAATTCCCCTCTACGATGTCTCTCTATAGCTAATCGAAACCTCTCGTTCGCTCTGTTGAAAAATTCAAATTCTCATAATTTCTCGATAAAAAAGGCTTTGGAGAAATGACCGATAAGTTACCGGGAATTTCTCTTCGTTTCTGACGTAACTTACTGGATTTAGAACTCTACGAATGTTGCGGTAATTTAAAACTCCCTAGAGAATTAAAAATAATTCAAGATAACTCGGGGAGAATATCCATTTAAATCAAATTACTTTCAATACGTAATGTCGATAGAGTCGAGGTACTTATTATCCGAAAATACTGTCTCATGAATTTCTGATTCCTTTCTCGCATACGATGATTTTCTAGTTCCGAAAGAAATTCTTGGTTATATTACCAGGGTAATATAACGCACGAAAAATTTAACGCTCCTGCTTGAGCATGATTTGAGACACCCCAACAGCGGCTCTTAACCGATTCGCATAAAGTAGCGCCATCAGCGCCCTCGGGCCTACTTCGAACCACATCCACTCTTCCGGTCTCGATACCTCTCTTAACCATAGCCTTTTTCCCGGTTTCTGCCTAGCACTCCGGAATCGCCATGGTTTTAACTCTTAAACCCTACCAGGGGTAAACGAGTACCCTTTACGGGACAGCAGCCCTAAGGTTTAGACTTAGTTTACACCTATCCCTCAGCCGGAATACTAAAGGCGTGGATTAATGAAACTCTCAGTGTAAACGATGCCAAGACTGCACCCACGTTTTCAGTGTATCGTCCCAAAGCGATAAACTACCGTTTACACGGGCAGTTTAATAACCTCCAGCGTTGATGGGCGTACCAAAAGATCGGTGTAAACTAACCCTACAGTAGAGTTTAAGAGTGAAGCCAATCTCGTGGAACACCTCGTTATCCAAAAACTCGCGCACAGGGGTACGATACGTTTTTTTTAGTCGTTTCGAAGTCACTCCGCCATCCAATCGGCATCACGACATGGATTCCCTCATCTAGGAGGGATTTTTCCCAATCCTGGCATCGGAATGGGGACCGCATCGACCTCTCCATCTTGGTCTCGACTTCCAGGACCCATGGACTCGCTTCTTCGGCGTCCTCTTCAGCTTCCTGACTTCGTTCCTCTAACTCGAGCTCGAGTCAAAACATCCCCATGAGGGTCTTTGAGCAATCGGACTCTTCTACTCGACCCGCCTCTCGGATCACTTTTAATCTACCCCACTTTCTTGGATCCGCCCTGACCATGTTTACCCAACCAGGCTCTAACTCGTTTCCCTGGATCCCGGTCTTCGATCAATCGGAGGCCCCATGGCCGGTCACGTGCCCGCGGTAGCCCATAGACGTTGAGGTAAGATCCGACCACCGATCACCGTAGATCCGCACGTTTCCACGTGCGTAAATCCGCGGCTCACGGTTCACCATTCTCACCAGCAGAAGACCGAGAGCTCGCTCCCGTGTTCGCCGCTGTGCCTCCAGGCCGTGACCGCTCGTGCCTTCAACTAAAACAAATTAATCCCAAATTAGTCTGACTTCGAAATCCCACAAAAGTTCCATATGCAGACCCTAACAAAACTCTTAACCCCTATAAAATTAAATTCTTTTTTTAATATGTGTATAAACATATTTTTAATTCGTTAGAAAGTGCGTACCAAATTGCTAAAGATCTGTAGTCCAGATCCATGCCAACGATTTATCCCAACACATGTTAACCCCTTTACGGTTGAAATCACTTGTTTTATTAATCCCCCCACGCGGAGGGGAACATAACCTCGCGTCACACGTGTAAACCCGTCGTCCAAAGCGACGTGAAAAAGAATTCCTGGATTTTACACGAAGAACGATATCGCTGTAGCCACTACGAGGGCAGTAAAAGCATCCGCGTATTTATACACGGCAAAGGCAACCGCTTGGGCAGGGCTTTTAGCAGGATCGCGTTTCCGCGGCTTTGTGCTCTCAGCTTTCAGCTGCGAGCGGCCCGGTATAAACGAGCATGCCCCGCTGGAATCTTCGCCGCTCTTAATAAATCTCCATTCGCTTTGTGCGCCCTATTACGCAATTGAATGGGGAAATACGTTCAGTTAGTTGTCTCCCCAGGAAAAAGGAAACCAGGGATTAGCCCCAGCGTCGGCGACATTGGCAATCGAGGGTGGTTCCACCGGTACTTATATACCGGCACGTACTCACATGCGTATGTCCCGCTATATAGTTATTTATCTCGTGGAAACCATTCCCGTGTTCACGGCCGAGTAGCATCGCCGGTCGGCGTAATTCTCGTTAAGTTAGGTTAGGTTAGGTTAGGTTAGGTGATCCTCGGTAGTATAGTGATCAGTATAGGTTGGATGCGCAGTCCTCGGTAGTATAGCGGTCAGTATAGGTTAGGTGCGGCTGTCTGGCCGGGAGTACACCTACACCACTGGGCCGCAGGGCTGAAGCGCGGCGCAGGAAGCGTAGGGGCAGTTTACATAACGCAAGATGGCCGCCGGTTCTAGTGGGCGTGCCCGCGCGCGAGCTTGCGAGGGGCCAGAAGCGCTCAGCCATTCAGGGGCAGGGCAGGAGGGAGCGAGAGGAAAGAGTCGACCGAGTCAACGGGGCGAGGGAGAGGGGGCGATACTACGGATACTACGGTAGCGTACTATGAGTTGTACTCCAGCACCCACACAGGCGCTCGGCCGGCAGCTGCACTGGCGATCGCGCTACGCGCGCGCTTATATAGCCTCCTCCCCCCACCCCGCCGCCCGCGCCATCCGGTCGCTCTCGCCTCGACCTCCACTCTATGCGCCTCCGTGTCATATACAGGGTGAGCCACTTAACTTAACGCCTCCGATATTCCGCTTGTTTTTCCGCAACACCGGGAGAGGAAACCGCGTGTGGGAACCTACCATCAGCAAATGCTAGGGCACTGCTTTTACCAATGGCGGAAAACCAACGGAATTCTCGCGAAACTGTTACAAGGGTATAATGGCGAACGTTAATGTCTTCCCGGTGGATGTTGAGTGGGGAGGCACTCATGTTTATCCTCGTACAGCGATGGGAGAGTGATTTGATCCTCGTTGTCACTATTTTTAGGATGGAATTTCAAGAATTAGCGATAATTCAATCCTTTCTTTCTAGTCATTTCTGACAAGTCGAGTTCGACACGTTGGATCTTGTTTCGGGGCGAATTTCGGGGCACCCTGTAGACGCGCGGATCCATCCATAATACATGATACGAATGTCGATATACTCGCGCCACATGGTCGTACATGGGGGACCTATGTAAAGCGCCACCTACGAGCACCTAGGTGCACCCGGTACACAAGTCGGGTGCATCGTGTATACCGGGAAAGGGTGCGCGCGGCGCCCCTGTATATATACAGGTTGACGCACCATTCCGATAACCTTAAATAACTTTGAGAGTATCACGCGTAGAGGAGAACGCTTCGGGCAAAAGTCGTCCAATATGTCGAGTGAGACTCCACGAATTCCTTGTTTTTCGAAAAGACCCTTTCACATCGCCTTAGGTTTCGCAAAATAATCTCAGCTTCGATACAGGAATCCCGCGAAGGATGCGGTCGTGGCGAATCACGGCGCCTCGTCGCTTTGTTTCAATTTCGTGAAAGAAAGAGACGAGGCGACCCGCGACGGGCAGGAGGGAGCGAGAGGGAGAGGGGGAAAGAGGTTACGCTCGGGTCGGGCCACGGGACGATCGCTCGCGAGGCAGAACCGGTTATGAGGGACCTGGAAGAGGTTATGTCCCGGCCGCGTTCCGGGCCGACGAAGCACTTCAAGTCAGCCAGAATTTGATTAACCCGAGGATTGGCGATTAGGATTTGCCACGGTTGTCATAGAGCGCGATCGGCATAAAAAAAAACTCACCCTGGAATTAATGGTGAAAATTGTCCCAAACTAGAACCGAAAAAAAAAATATATATATATATGTGCCCATAATTATGAAAGTGGTCTAAGTCACAATTAAAAAAAAAAAATGAGTTTATCAGTTATTTCACGCCAAATTATTTCAAACGAAATTAATTCAATGTAATTTCGAAACATAAAATATATGACTTAGACCACTTTCATAATTATGGGCACATATATATATATATGTATTTTTTTTTTTTAATGAAATTTCATGAACACCACGTCCTCCCTTAGGAGCTCCATAACCACGTGCTGAATTTTCAAATGATTCGATCCAAGCATTATTTTATAAATGTTTCATATGCATAGAACGACCCTTTAGTGTGAGTAACGTCAGATTACCTCTTCCTGGCTGCTTTGGCGTTACCATTCTTGCGAAACGGGATTATTACGTAGACGGGCATTCGTAAAACGCCATTTGCATGGCTCGTACTCTGTGCGTGCGTAAGTAGCGCTTAGGTTAGGTGAAATCGTTAGTACCGAGGCTCGCGTTTATCTCACGGCACGCAAGCGCGCTCCGTGCATCAGCTGCCGGTCTGCCCGATAGCTCCCTAACCTCAAATTATTCTACGACAAAACGAGGCATAAGCGATCGCCCTCGATATCGAAATGGCGTAGCGCAAGGGCCGCCCTAATGACGCCAGAGCGTTACCGTGCACCGTGTAATGCCACCGTTCCCGGTAATGCCGGCACTAACGACGTCACTAATAGCACCACGTGACCCCGACTATCTAACCTCATAATAACGAGTCTCTCCATTCCCTTTTGCAGAGGGATCGGCAAGGTTCGTTCGCGGAGTTTCATCGAATAAAAAGGGGAAAGATGAGTTCCAACCTCAAAATTACTCCGAGAAACAAACCTTCACTCCCCTTTGTTCTGTCGTTAGTCACATTACGGATCGATTTTTCACCGACACGTCCCAGGCTGTCCGATCGGCCACAATTAGAATCATCATCCGGCGCATATCCCGTTTAAAATGAGAGAGTTTCACTCGATGGCACGTGTGCCGGATATAACCCGCTGTTCATTAGGTTAATCACGTTAGATGATACCGCGAGTTGGAGAGCATCGAATTACTTTTAATCAATCGACCGCGTGAAGCTCGCTCGCAGGGGCCGGCGGCGCTGGGCGTGGCCTGGCGCACAGACCGCCCAGTAGCAGGCTCGGGCCACGCCCCTAGCTCCCGATTAGTCAGCTTGAAGCCTCGATAACTCGAAATCGGTCTGTGATACCGAAAACTTGGTAAGGACTTTATCCGATCTTTTTACTACCTCTAGCTAATGTCCGATTCTAGGCTTCCGCGGAACGACCTAAACATCGAGTTATACTTATATATCTCACCTGCTGCATCTTCTCGAAGTCCAGACAGGGTCTGGGCAAACGATGAGGTGGCCTGTGGCGTTTCCGAGGGCTGCAAGCGCTGAGGGCGTCGGAGTCGGACTCCCCGTGGTGGTGGTGATGGTGGTGATGATGGTGATGGTGATGGTGGTCCAGGTGGGTGTGGAGGTGGGAGTGAGGATGTGGGTGGGGGTGAGGCCTGGGCCTCGACCTTGGCCTAGGCGAAGGCCGAGGGTCTCTCGAGGAAGCGTGGAACAGTTTCGGGGGCGGCGACAAGGAGCGTCCTGGTTTGTGCGCGTCCAAGGGCGGGGACGTGCGGAATTGGACCGGGTGGGAAATCACGCTTCCGCTTCCGCTTCTGCTTCCCAGGAGCCCCTGCACCTGCGGGACGAGATTCGATTAGTCGGCGGACATTGGACATCGGCCTCCACTCGACGTCGCACGTCGGTTGGGCTCGATTCGCCTGAAGGTACGTCCTATCGGATCTGCCAGGGTCTGGTGAATTCTAGGTGTGGAGGTACCTCCTCATCGCTGGAGCCAGACCCCGCAGGTTCCCTGCCAGCTCTGCTGGTAGGAGCCGAGCAGGTCGCAGCAACTGGCCCAGCAACACTGCAGAGTGGACGCTGGGCCAGTCGCTGTTGTTTGGCGAGCTCTGGTTGCTGTTGCTGCTGCTGCTGTTGCTCCTGCTGTGGCTGCTGCTCTTGCTGCTGCTGCTGGGGCTGCTGCATTTGCTGCTGCTGCTGCTGCTGTGGCTGTTGCTGTTGCGACTGCTGCACCGACAGGCCGGCGTTGCTGACCTGCGACCACTTGCGCTTCTCAGGAGCTGTCGCTGGTCTGTAACCCGAAGTGGCCACGACCTTAGGACTGTTTATCACCTCCAGCTCCTCTTCCGAGCTGTGTTGGTCATTGTAGTTCAGCATCAGCAGTAAATCGGCAGCGTCCCTGACTCGGGCCCCACGCTGGGCGCCCTCGGGATCATCTTCGGGCTGCTCGTCGCTGTTTTCGCGCTGCAGCAGCCCGAATGTTCCCGAGACTCCGAAATCGCTGTCGGAGGGGACTGCGCTGTCCGGAGCTGGGCTGCCCATGCTCTCCATAGCTGCAACGGGAAACATATCGTTATCTGAAACGCTGATTCTGAACTCTGCAGATAAGGTCCTCAGCTTGTACACCGACAAAAAAAAGAAAAAAGAAAATTCATCGAGCGAAAAAAATATCTTCTTCATTCAAAGAATAATTCACTGAAACAAACTCAAATAAATTGACATCGTTCCAAAGAAACTTTGCGTCCAATTGATTCGAGTGTAATAATTATTCTTCAAATTAACGAAACATTTCATTGGTTCGATGAATGTTCTCTTTTTTTTTTCTGCCTTTTTGTTAGTGCAAGACGTCTATGATCCCTAGCTACGGTTTCTCTCTGGTGGTGATTACTCTTAATGGATATTGAGGAATTCGTGGATTAGGAAGCGCAGCAGTGAATCGCAACCGATCGAGCCAATCACCGTGGATTATGGATGGATGAGCCAATGATCATCTCCATGAATTTCGTATCGAGGTTCGCGCTTAGATGGAGGGTTTTCCCTGGATTTACGTCGAGGTTTGCAGACGTCCACAGCTTCGACGAGGACGGAATGCCAGAAGGGAAGAGGACGAGGATCGATAATGCAGAGGGTAATGGCGGCATTATCTCGGAGGAATCCTTCAGCGAGCTAAGGAACGAATGGACGGCCTGTAATTTCGTTTGGATACTCATCGCCGGAGGTACGGGATGGAGTCGAGTCACGTCCACTTAGAATCTCCCTTAAAGGCTGCCTTTAAAACCCGTAGCAGCGTTTCTGTTCCGATATGCTCCGGCGATTGTTGCCAATCGTTTGGAACGGGTCCAAGGGACCCTGGGTATCATAAAACGTGAATAAGCTGACCTCCGAGGTGCCAGGGTCTTTTCCGAGAGGAGGGACTCAAACCTGGCAATAACTTGGCTGACAACGATCAAAGTACCTCAAGACCAATTCGGTAAAAAGTGAAGGGCAAATATTTACATACAGTGTTGCATTAGTTTAACCCGTCGACGTATTGAATGACATCAACGAGTTAGGGGGAAGTTTGTTACGTTTGTTCTGAAAGGGCTCGATAGAGCGGCCCGAAAATCCAAGATGGCGGACGTGCCACCGGTTGCGCCGCGCGAGGTGGCACGCTCCGATGCACGCTTTAAGCCGCCTTCACGGCGCCACGAGTGCAAATCGATCGCGCTCGTCACTTTCTCCTTCGGACGGATCCGCAAATGTCGCGCCGCGGTCCAAGGCCTTCGACTTTGGCCACCGAGCGCCAGAGTGCGTCCCAGTCGCAAGGAAACCCGTCCCAAGCGTACCAAATGAATCACACTGGTAGAGCTTTCTAAATCGACCCGACTCTCCTGCATCAATTCCATCAGAGCGAGCAAAACGAATCCGCATAAAGCTAATTCATTCCACGAAAATCGGTACTTCTAAGTATAATTTGGGCATATTGCCGAAATCAAATCCAACGTGGGAGGATCGCCAGTCGTAACGGTCCGGGTTCCACGTGGCCAAACAAAGATGGCATTGTATTTCGGAGCAAGCCCCTTATCCGCCTCGGGGGGCATGTTCAATAGGCGGTATTTTAAGTTATATGTACCGTGGCGCATGTCGGAAAGTATCACATTGATACCGGAAGGAAGGACAATAATCGAATCGCGCGCAGCCCAGCTGGTCACCGTCGCGTCTGGTTGCGTCCGCGTTTACATGAATAGACTGGCCGGGAGGTTTCTTCTCCGCCCCTTTTCCTATTCCCGCGACGCGCGCACGTTTCGGACGTAGAGTCGTCGTACCTATCGTGCGCAGGTTCCGTGGCGCACCGAAGAGACGGTGGCGCCCTCCATGACCTCTCCCGCCGCCCCGCCACGTCCCGGCCGGCTGCGGTCCGGCCAGTGGTTTGAGTCGGTGATCGGTCGGGCGCGCTTATATACCCGCCGCGGAGGGGACGGAGTGGGGGGTGTCATGGAAACCGAGCGCAGCGTGAAAGCTGCTGGTAGGGGGCGGCGGGTGACAAGACGACCGGAAGGGAAGATGCGGCGGCGGGGAAGGAGCCAAGTGAAGTGAGGTGAGCTACAAAATGCACAGCCGACCCGTGCAACGGCCAGCTGAGTAACTATTTCGATTAAATCCAGTTGAAATAGAGTTAAAACTGTTCCCATTTACAATTAAGGTGACATGACACTATATACATATATGCCAAATAATTTGAAACTTTAACACGTGATTATACGGAGGTCCTAATAAAGGTCTTGAAATTCACGAAAATTCATTTCTCGAACATTAATCGATTAGTATCGACGGTTCAACATATTATTTCGTATTATACGGAACTGGTTAAGGATACGATCACGTAGAGTCGTCGCGTTAATTTGTTCGGTGTAAACGCGGCTTAAAGCGTCGCGCTTGAGCGCCGGCGCCGACGCCGAGTCTTCGAGCTCGTCCATTGACGCAAAGTCGCGTGAACGACGGCCGCGTCGTCGTTAACGACGTCGAGGGACGGCGCCGTCGACGAGGAAACCGACGCTGATTGATAGGCTGTTCCTTGGCGAGGACGCGAGGGCAATCCGCCCAAAATTCGGCGACTTGCCCCGCGCAGAGAAATAACTCCCCTAACCTAAAAATTCCCACAGCGCCCAAATTAACCGAATTAATACCCTCACTTCCCTCAAATTCGGTGTATACAAAACATTTCTCCAAACTAGGTGCACCGAATAATCTGAAACCTTAACACACGATTACGGAAATCCTTAAGAAGGTCTCGAAACTCGGGAAATTTCATTTTCCGACAAAAAATTCCTTTTCCGGGTCTTATCCGGGATAGATGCATAATTTCGTTTTTTTTTCGTGAAACTCGTGAAATTTAATTCTTCAGGACCTTCATTAGGGCCTTCGTAATCAAGGGTTTTCAAGTGAAAATGATGTTCATCGTTCTAGAGTACAAGCGATAATTCGTAAAACGATAATTCGTAATGTTCGTCTATTTCAAGTGAAAATGATGTTCATCGTTGAAGATTTCAAGCGATAATTTCGTAATCTTCTTCGGGGTGCCTATGAACACGATTCGGTGATTTCGACTCTACTCCAAGCCCCCCTCCTTCAAGGGTGTCAACCGAACTGACAGCCGAAGGTCGCGGAGCTCGACTGCACGGGTTACGTTTCCGATATTCAATTTCTTCGGCAAATCCATTACAGTGGCAGACCCCGCCACTCTGGAAAGTGTCAGACAAACGGGTGGGTTATGAACGCCACGGAGAAACCGGTGGCAGGAATCACCTGTCGTATTAAGGGAGCCCCTTCGGGCCGACCCGGGACGTCCCTTAAGTCGGCCCGCTGTCAACTGACAGGTGTCACCTCCCCCGGCCGAACTCGTGGGATAATAATTGCCTCCAATCTCGGCGGCTTTATTGACCGCCAACAATCGTGATTCCATCATTGGACAGAGAAAAAGAGTCGCAGCTAAACTGGGCAAATTAAGGCGATACGAAAGTGGTATCAATCCTTTTCCCCGCTTTTCTCTTACCTGGATGAACGGAAGGCGATATTAATTATAAAGGCGATACGAAAGCGGTATCAATCCTTTTCTCCGCTTTTCTCCTACCTGGATGCGCGGAATACTTTCAAACTTTACAACGTGAATATGAGAATATATACGAAATATATATACGAAAGGTCCCGACACCCATGAAATTTCAATTCCTTTTTTTCTTTTTCTTTTAATTTACTTAGACATTTAAAAAATTTCATTAGAAAAAAAATGAAATTTCAGGGTGTCAGCACCTTCCTTATAACCTCCATATTCATGTTGTAGAGTTTGAAAAACGATTGATGCCACGTTCACACCCCCTTAAGGTGAAGTGAAATACGTCGAGGAACTTGATCGACGTCGACAAAGAAGATTTTTCTAAATGCCTACATTGCCGATGTTCCTTTTTATATCGACAGCTGTGTCGAATTATATTGGGTATTGTACCAAATGGCGTACTCCACCTGTCGTTTTCGTACAATAAATATCAAGAAATCGAAGTAAAACTCCAGAAATCTTCTGGATTCGTGCTTTCCGCGGCCCTAATTGACTGCAGAGCGACCCCCTGCGCCATCTGCGATTTCCAGGTCAATTAAATCTTCACTCCGAGACCTCGTATTACCATCGTTTTGGCATAGAAGCGCACACAACACTTTTTTTGCCTTCATCCCGTTCAAATGCGAGTTTATCGACTACCAAAGTGTTCTAAATTGTCGTAAAATTGTCCTGACCCTTTCGATTCTCATATCAGAGCCTTCGATAATTGTATATTGATCGAAATATGAGAGCTCGACGCCATTTTGGTACTGGCCTGGATTGTTAAAAAATTTTGTTAAAAAATCCAAATTTTCAATGTGTCAGGACAATTCTTAGATGATCAGGAGTGATGTGTCAAAGTTTTGGACAGTTTGGTCTAATACCCTTTAAAAAAATGTATTCGAATCGACCGATTTGAAGGGGGTTTCACGTCACCTTAAAATCCATGATTTTCTTAATCCCTTGGCGTAAACGGCTAATCTGTATTCGGCCATGTTTCTTTTTTCTTTTTCAGGACATTACATGTAATTACAAGACGCAAAGGCCGAACATGGACCGAATGACGGACGGCGTCGAGCAGAGCAGAGATTAAGCCACCCGTAGCCAAGTTCAGGCCGTGCCAGGAGCCGTTTTAATTGCCGCGCCACGTGTCGCGCGACATTCGCGACATTCGCGACATTCGGCCGACATTCGAGCGACATTCGGACGGTACGTGCTTAATATGGCTGCGGAGCTTCGTCCATATACATGTGTAATGCACCAATATCGCTAGTTGGCCCTCTGGAGCGGTTCCAACGTCCTGACATAGCCAAGTGTTCTGGCCATTTTCTGCGCATGCGCCCCTGTCACCTCGTCACGTGGCATGGGCGCCGCCATTTTGCAAACTACCAAATTCCCTTAAAAACACGTCAACTGCGTTTTATTCGAACAAAATACAGTATCGGCATGCTTTTGCAGGAAATGCAGGCATTTATTCACATCGTGATTTTTCATTTTGATGAATTTTTCACTTTAAATCGACCGCGACGACCGTTACGAGTTATCGTATTACGAAATATCGCTGGAAATAGCGAGCGCTGAACGTCAGGAACTTTTTTCACTTGAAATCGACGAACATTACGAATTATCGTTTTACGAAATATTACTTGAAATCGTGCGCGATGAACATTACGAATCTTCACTTGAAATCCTGCGTGACCAACGTCCCACTGAACACCAAACCTAACAGTTACGTAACTTAAAACTAACAAATAACATAACGTTTGTTCCAATGTAATAACCTAACAGTTACCTAACATTGAGCTAACTAGTTACATGACATTTGTTACAATGCAGTAACTTAACAGTTATGTAACATGGAGCCAACAGGTTACATAACATTTGTTACTATCATGTCTCTATAGATGTAGCGTAACTTTGTTACTCTCATCTTACATTATGTTACTGTCCTGATATTACTCTGTATATGCAGCACATATCGGTAACAAAACGGAACTACATTGTTGCTGTCATTTATTTTATTACATCATCGTCATCGTCATTGTCATAATTCATCGTCAAATGTCACAAGATTAATATATGTCATATATTGTTTACTACTCGTATGAAAAAATGTGACTTTAATTCATACGCGCATATACATTATCAGTCATTGTTAGCTAGTCGAATGAAATCCCAATTGTCTTTAAGTAAAATCAGATAGTTTATCATTACATAATTTCATCGAAAGTCTGATTTGTCATTTAATATCTAACTATTGTCAAGTAGCAAAAAATAATTAAAAATAAAAAAATTATATAAGTTTGGATAAAATTGCTTAATCTTTTTTATTAAATGTATGAAAAATTGTAATGTAGTTAGAACTCGCTTTTTCCTTTCTGTTTTGTGTATATCATGTATTTACAAGGCCCACGATGTACTAGAAATGTAGAGGCGTTACACGGAGCAGGGAATGTGGCGTTACATCACGCATCGGCATTCCCGTAGGCGCGTGTCGTTTCGCCCCGCTCTTCCTCTCGGCCGAGTGCCGTAACACTCTCGATTAGGTATCGCCGAGGGTGCTCACCTTGGCCGTGGATGGAAATTAGTTGACCGACACACCTGACCGACAAACTCTGCGAGCATGCCGGGAAAAATAGCCGAGATTACCGAGACGAAGGAAACCATTCAAAAGCAAGCCCTACATTTTCAACAAAAATGCCAAAAGTGGTAATCATTTCACCAGAGTTCATTTCAAACAGGTATCTAAACCGTAAAATGCCATTTTCTATTTAGTACTTTAAATAAGAACCCCTCATTTTCAACAAAAATGGAAAATCTGATAACCATTTCACCAGAGTTCATTTCAAACAGGTAACTAAACCGAAAAATTCCATTTTTTAATTAGTACTTTAAATAAGAACATGAATAAGAAACCCTCATTTTAAACAAAAATGCCAAACCTGATAACCATTTCACCAGAGTTCATTTCAAACAGGTAACTAAACCGCAAAATGCCATTTTCTATTTAGTACTTTAAATAAGAACATAAATAAGAATTTCGATTGATGTACAATTATCAAAGGCTCTGATATGAGAATCGAAAGGGTCAGGACAATTATAAAACAATTTAAAACACTCTGGTAATCGATAAACTCGCACTTGAACGGGATAAAGGCAAAAAAAGTGTTGTATGCGCTTCTATGCCAAAACGATGGTAATACGAGGTCTCGGAGTGAAGATTTAATTGGCCTGAAAATCACAGATGGCGCAGGGGGTCCCTCTGCAGTCAATTAGGGCCCCAGAAAGCACGAATCCAGAGGACTTCTGGAGTTTC